ACCGTTTGTGTCTTGTTGTTGCTATTAATATTATAAAATTATTTAAAAAAAACTCTCTTTAGGAGTAACCCAACCATAAGAAATTATTTGTGTAAACACATTGAAAGCGCTTTTACTTAAATTTTCACCCACATACACGGTATTAACATTTTTACTAACACTCTTTTGTGACTAATTCTATTGACTAGGCCTATGATGGGAGGCATTATTTTAACAAAACTTCAGCAAAATTAAATGTGAAATTGAAAGGGAAAAATCTTTAAAATATTGGCATGATTGTAACCAAGGTTAAACAACACACAAATATGAGGTGACTTTGCGTGCTCATTAGCGACTAGGCTTTCCTTTCCTTGAGGCAACAAATGATTATCAACAGCCTAAACATGATTGATATGGAGAAAAACCTGTTATATGGACTATGAATGTATTTTTAAGCATGTGTTTTGTGTTGCACCCATATTTACAGTTTTGTTTTATAACATATGTATGTAGGTCATGTGAAAATCTTTCAGTTTTTTTGCCATAAGACTAGGCTTGTTGTTTTTTTTCTTTTTAATTTATGCATATCTGCATTGCAAAAAGAAACCAACTATACATATTTAACCATCATATTTTAAAGGATAATAGAGCAGATATAGGTGCATTTACTTAAGTTATAGTCGTAGTAATGCTAATGTAAATTACTGAAAAAAATGACTGAAAAAGTAATGACAGTTCAGTGTCAGTAGTGTCTCACAGATTTGATGAATTCAATTTTTATAAACAAACACATTGTTAATACAGTGGTTCTACAACAGGTATTTGGAGCAGAAATACAGAAAACAATTATATGTTCTCTAAAGAATATTAATTAAACAGTTCTTTTTTTCATTTAAAGAAATAACAACATATAAGTTATTTCATATAAAGAACACTAACAAAATAAAGATGCCGTCTCAAAGAAAGGTATAAGAGCTGTCTCTGTGTGGTAAAAGGACCTTTCTGAGGATACATGTTTGTACAGAAAAATCCATATTGGTTTTGTAAAAGTACATATTAATGCCTAATACAAAAACAAATGTTTTCTTTTTAAAAAGGTACTGCCCCAGTGACAACTGTTGTATTCAGTTTAATTCATGTTTGTTTCGTTAGCACTTCTACAATGTAGATTGTGTCAAAGCAGCTTAACACAGAAGTTCTGGTAAATTGAAAATGTGTCAGTCCAGTTTTTAGAGATGAAGCTCAGTTCAGTGTGGTTTCATTTTCACTGCTGAAAGTCCAAACATCGAAGAGCAAATTCATCAATGCGCAGCTCCACAAGTCCCAAACCAAGCAAGCCATTGACGACAGTGGCGAAGAACAAACTTCACTAATTGACAAAAGTGAAGGAAAAAACGTTGAGAGAAGCCCGACTCTGTTGGGCATGACGATTTCTACTCTGGCCAAACGTCTTGTGCAGAGCTGCAGTCTAGGGGCTTGAGAACGCTGGATGTCCATTGTGAAGAAACTGAAAGTGTGAGTAGGACACCAGCGGGTGTTCAGGCTGTCCGACGAGATTCATGCAGAGACTCATCTCATCTGTCACTGGGTCTTTCAGAAGTCAGAAGTGTCATGCTCTCCACTCCTCCATGACTGCCACAGCATTTGCTCAGGATACGGCCTGTCCAGGATAATGGATACCTCTAGAAGTCTTCTGGTTGCCAACACCTCTTCACAGGTCACAATCTCTAGAGGCCTCGGGATGAGTATGCCCAGGTGGAAATAGGGAACAAAGAAGATAATTAGCAAAGCTGCTGTTAACAGTGTATTTAAACAAGAGATGTTAAATAATAAGGCAAAAACAGTGCTATAAATGAAAATGGTAGTTATATGAATAAGCATGAAAAGCACATGATGTCATACATAATGTCTGGTGCATTAAGTGTGTCCTAGAGGCACTCCAAAGTAAATGTCAAATGACTAAGTACAAATTATTCAGCATTGTTATTTTTAAGCAAACAGTTCAACGGTGTCCAAACTCTGTCCTGGAGGGCTGGTGTCCTGGAGAGTTCAGCTCCAACCCTAATTAGACACACCTGAAGCAGCTAATCAAGCTCAGATGAACTAGAAACTACCTGGCAGGTGTGTTGAAGCGAGCTGAAATTAAACTCTACAGGACATCGGCCCTCCAATACTGAGTTGGACACCCCTGAGTTAAGCAAATCACACTTCATTCCATACATGAAATATACCAAGATTATTCATTCATTCATTTTTTTTGGCTTAGTCCCTTTATTATTCTGGGGTCGCCACAGCGGAATGAACCGACCAACTTATCCAGCAGATGTTTAACACAGCGAATGCCCTTTCAGCTGCAACCCATCGCTGGGAAATATTTCAAAATTAGGTCAAGCTAACTGTTTGTACTCGTGTAACAGGATGATTTCAAGCTTTTCTAGCAGGTCAGTGTTAACAAGCTGATGTGGATGTGACAGTGGATTGACAAATTCTTCACAGACAATTTTCCTCATCCTATAGTCCTCCATTTAATTGTAACAGGATGATTTCTAGCATTTTGATTTCACTATATTTTCCTCAAATTCTCAAAATTGTTTTGTGTTCACAATATAAATGTAAAAAAAATCTGTAAAGCGACAGTGGTTTCCCCTCTTTTCCCCCTTGGGGTTAACATCAAGGCGGTATAGTCCAAGCAGCCATACCTGCACTATTGTTTGAGCGGTCTTTTCCACCTTTTCCTTGAACAAAAGAGGTGTGCTCTACCTGTTCCACGTTGAACTTAGCACTGGTCATAAATACCACACACAAATATATATATATAATATATATTTAAGTTTAATTTTAATCATTTGTTTTATTTCTTGATGTAAAAGCTATTTGTTATATTGTAGAATGTTATTTTTGTAGAAAATGTATAATTAAGGGTATGAGCTGAAGTTGCCGATCTGTCTCTATCATAATAACATTCTCTGTGCAGACTCAAAATGGTGTCCTCTCGTCATTCACTACACAACGTAGAGCAAAAAAAAGAGTACGGTTACACTGGTGCCGTGACCCGAATGGGAGTGAGGTTTAGGGGGGTGAGTGTAATGGAGGCCAGCTAGGCCCTACTAGGCCTTACACTACTGCGTTTTAGTTTTAAAACAGCGTTTTAGACCAAAAACAATCTGCGTCCACACTAGAGTTTTACCTAGCGTTTCTGAAAATATCTCTGTCCACACAACGCCACCAAAAACGTATATCACGTGACCATTCACGTACTCTGGGCATGTGCGTCCTAGTATAAACAGGAAGCATGTGTCTCGCTCGGCATGTGGTTAATGTTAGTCAACAAACGCCGGCTGTACAATAAACGCGATGGCAAAGAAAGCAAGAGAGTTATTTTTGTGGACAGACGACGAGGTCGAGTTGTTACTAAACATAACAAATGAATAACTGCACAATGGTGCCTAAAACAGACAATAGTGCAAACAACACTTCCATTTCTGGGTCCATGTTGTTGTTTACAATGAAGGCTGGTCTGCTGTCTTCCGCTAGCGTTAAAGCCATGTGTTATAGTCATGTGATAGGGGTACGTGGTTATAGGGGTATAGATGACGAATAAGGGAAGGATACGCAATGACACAAAAGCCCCAATCAGGTAGCGAATGTCGGCAGCCCCACCTCCGTTTTCAGATGTCTCCGTTTTTCCCTATCCACACTGAGACGGAGCAGCAGTGTTTCAGAATGAAAACGGGCTCTCTAGCGTTTCCGGCGTAGTGTGGATGGATGACATAACCGTAGCAAAACTCAGGCGTTTTCAAACTAATACGCATTAGCATAAATGGGGCCCTAGTGAGTGCTGTGCAGGTAAACCTCACTCCTCTGACCTCTAAATGTGTTCTAGTGATGGACGCTATAGAGGCCATGATCTTTAGTCTCATTGTTAGAGCACCCGACTCCCATGCAGAAGTTCGCCAGTTCGATACCAGCTCGGAGCAGGTTGGGTGGCGTGGCACAGGCGGGGTTACACTCGGTGCTGGACAGAAATGTGTTTAATGCAAAAATCCCTTTATAAGGGGTTTAAAACCAGTTATGTGGCAACAGTCTGTGGATATAGCCAGCCTCCAAAGCTGTGGTCACTCTGGACTTTTCTCCCTATAGATTTCCATTCAAATGCACACAAATGCGTCAGACCGGAAAAGTAAGCTCGTGCGTCAAGTTTCGCAGTGTTTGCATTGAAAAGTTCAAGCTTGGTGAACTCTGACCTGCAAAATCGTATCGTTTGACTGCATGAGACCAATCGAGAATCAAAAAATTAACTCTCTGTACAGGAATTTAAAATATGGAGCAATCGCTCGCTTTTCCTAATGTCTAATCATCTTGTTTAATCCCACTTCTTTTCACAGGAACATACGACAGAATTTTGCAAGTTTAAACTCTAGTGAGACTGCAGCTTGATGGTAAAAATTTAGAAAAAAATTAAATATTTTAACCACACTTGATAAAAGCAGTCTGCAGAAATACTTTGATCGACATTCTCTCTTTATACATCAGAGTGGGGAAAGCCCCACCCATTAGTGATGATCTCTTCCTCATTAGAATATGATGTTAGTCTTATTTTTCAATCTGCCACTATGCTGACAGACAGGCATTTGTAACTCCGCCCTCTTTTGAAAAGACCACAATCTTATTTGAGCTTAAAGTGACAGTCAAACATTATTTGTGGCATATTTTTGGATGAAATTTCACACACACACACACACACACACACACACACACACACACACACACACACACACACACACACACACAAACACACACACACACACACACACACACACTCTAGGGGTAACATTTTTAATGTTGTATAAAGGAGCATAACAGGTCCCCGTTAAAACTGCCTCATCGTAACAAAAAAACAGAAAAATGTGTATATAATAAATAAGCATAAAATCAGGTTAAAGCACATATTGTATGCATTTTGTGTTGATTGTGGATTCCAAAGTCTTTTTAATCAGTAATAAAATAAATGACAACATACATTTGCATGATTTATAAAGGTTTAATAGCCATACTAGATACAATCGGAAGAACAACATGCATTTGGAGAATCAACATAATGCAACCTTGTAAAATGCTACAAAAAGACTGGCCAAGGTTTCTCCAGTCACCCAGTACAGTTGCTGGCCATACTGGCAGCAGTGGCCATAGCAGCTCCCACAGCACCTACAACTGCTTGACCTGCCATTGAGATTCCAGCTGCACCTGAACACATAAATGGAAAGTCTTTTTATTCCATGCATTAATCATTTTAACTCATTTGAGGAATTTTACTCACCTGCGCTTTGAAGAACAGCAACCGCTGATCCAGCAGCGACTCCTCCTCCGCTCGCCACGGCAGTTGTTGACATCATCCAGGAGGCAACTGATCCTGCAGCAATGCCAGCTCCAGTGAAACCTGCAGCTGTTAGAAGTGCAGGAGCTGCAGCAATTGCTCCAGCTGTAGGTGGAAGAAAAATAGATCCAGAAAGCAACTTTAAGTGGATCACTGTCACATACAGTGAACAATCTGCTTAATTTAGTTGTTATGTACAATGTTTTCTGTGCTCATGTTGTATTGTATTACTATTTCTGCTTTTGATAAGTAATATGGCTAAGGTTATGGAAAGATGCTGTGGTAGAGTTACAATGCCTTTGAAAAATCATCATATCCCTTTAAATTACTTTAACTTTTTTTGTCATATATTCATATATAACTTGTCATATATTATAAATATTCTTATGTATTTGTAATACATCCTGAAATCAAATTACATTCCAGACCACTTTTTCAGGTTTTAAAGTGTTTTTGTAGCCTTCTCCTAAACTGTGCCTTTCTTTTTTTCCTGAAGGTCTTTTGAAGCTGGGTGTAATGTGAGTAAAGGTATAGATATTCACAAGGTATCATGATTTTCCTTAGGCACTGTATAGGGTCAGACTTTTCATAAGACCTACCTCTCACTAACAAAGGTCCAGAAATTGTCCCATACATTGTCCCAAACTAATTGAGGAAGGCTTTAAGACCCTGAAGAAACTGACGTAAGTGAAGTCATCTTTCACTACTGACTGACTGTATTGTTGTTAAATAGCAAAAACATTTTGCAAGTAACTTTTATTCTAAATCTTGGAATCTTAAATGAAAGACAAAAAAGACCAATAAAACGTTGTGTAGCACCAAAAGTAAATTTTAAAGCTTATAAAATAAAATTTTAATTCTAATTAGGCTAGTGTTGTTAAGCATGATTTTTCAAATGTACTATTCACAAAAGAGACTAGAAAAATCAGGATGCTCTACATTATTATTATTACGTTAAATTTTTTATTATTCAAGTGGCCAAATTCTGACAGGAAAGTTGATTGTGCTTACTTTGCCTTAATAAGCAGTTTTTAATTTAAAGCCTTAAGAGATTCATTTTTCCCTAATGATGATGTGATACATTTGTATTTTAAAATTTATATGTATAAATGAATAGGTTTTTCATAATCTTTCTTTTTTTAAATCTATAGGAAATGTTTTTGGTTCATCAAAAAGTGTGATTATGATGACCACAGCTAAAAAAAAATGCTTTACATGTCACAATTTAAATCTCATAATTAAATAGAAAATGAGGCAAATAATTGCTAAAAGGTCCACTTTTTGAGAAAAAAAAAAGAACCAGCCCTTTTACCAGGCTGGCTACAGGCCTGCACTACAACATTTCATTTCAATATTTTTGATGTCAAGTAACACACGTTAAATCTAAAATATTACAAATAAATGCATGTTTTATAATTACCTGCTCCTAAAATAGCTGTGACTGTGGGAAAGAAAAAAAAAAACAACAACAAGTAAATTATTTGTCAATTGTAGATGACCTGCATTTAAGATCCTAGAGTTACATTAAATACTCACATGCCATCTGAGGTCGAGTCTACTGAAGAGAAGAAATGCTGGATGATCTTGCTCTGCACTGAGCTCAGGTGTCTGACAGCTTGCTTAAATAGTTCTGTGGGCGGCTGCATTTAAAGAAACGAAACCGAAAACCCAAACCAATTCAGCACATTTTTCTGACGTAAAACAGTAGCCTATTCCTATCTCCATGCTCTTTATTACTATCTATCTATCTATCTATCTATCTATCTATCTATCTATCTATCTATCTATCTATCTATCTATCTATCTATCTATCTATCTATCTATCTATCTATCTATCTATCTATCTGGCACAGTTTATCTTTGTTCTAATGTATTCCTTGGGAAAAAAAAGGTTTTCACTGGATAAACCAGAGCCAAAAAGCAAGCCTCATACAATAAAAAGAACCTCAGTAGAGAAGTTTTACCGCGACATCTGCTGTTCACAATGCAATATTGCAGGCAAGAACATTAGAAGTGGTAAACATTTTTATACAATTTTATACACGACTGTTGTATAAAATATTCATAAAAAGTTTTGTGCTACTCACCGACTCGTAGAACGTAGGCTGCACAACTGTAAAGCCACCGAAGTGTTTTGCCTCTGCTCTGTACAAATATTATGCCGACATTTGCTGACGGCTTAGCAATGATGACGTATAGAAACTGAAACTAATAACTACTTCCTGGAAATCACATGTAAAATCTTCCAGAGACTGAAAAAAATGCTTACTTAAAAATAATAATAATCAAAATCCGGCACTATATTAACTGCCGGAAAATAAACGGTAGAATTTAATGAGCTAAAGTAACAGCAATACCCTTTTTGTTTGTATTTCAGCCAATCACAAATATACTTTTTAGCTCAACTGTTAAGGATGTGACCAATGGATTTTAAATTATTATTTTAAAAAAAAATATCTAACGTTTATTTTCTGGCAATTACTACAATTAAATAGACTATTAATACATTTATTTTTACCACATTACTATAACTTTGTGTAATTAACAAAATAATCCTTTTTAAATAACGAGTTCTTCATATTGAAATTGAAAGGCAGACTTGTGTTTGACTTTGTAATATCTTCAGATAGTAACATTGTGAACACGTCATCGCTTATTTTGTAATTGTGTGAACACCTTTCTCACAGATTTAGTGATTTATCACACAATATATGATCTTAGACAGTTTTTTTTTTTTTTGCAGATTTTTTGAATATATGCTCATTACACAATTTGGATGAAACATGTAAAAAAAAAAAGTTACACTTTTTTACTTTCCCCCCCACCCTTACATGTTCCGCTCTCAGAAACCCTCCAGGATGCTGAGTTTGTGTATTGCTTCTCAGTCAAATCTAAAGCTGCAGGCAGTTTCTCACATTTTTGAACCTCAGGTATGCATTTACAGGAATAATATTATTCATTTTGGAATATAAAAACATATGTAAGTTTCTGCAGAAATAATTTGGCACCCTTAACCAATATATCAACATTTGAAATATAAATTTATGCACAGCTACATGTATAAGACATTTTTATCTAAAAGGAATTACTTTCTTAATAAAATTTCATGACTTCAAGCATTCCCTGAGAAACAAAGAAACCCCTTCTTCTGTTAAAGAGGGTTTAGGTTGTAGAACAAACAATGCAGTCACAAATCAGACAGACAGTGTTGTCATGGATTTATAATGCAATTTATTGATATATATTTTTAAGTTTCATTTCTTAAGACAAGAAAATAAACTCACATCTTCAGTTAAAATATTGTTTTGCAATTCATCATAAGAGCAAATAAAATTTGTATTACAAGTTTAAAGTAATTAAAGATTTAAATTATTCTTAAAGCAGTTAGTAATGTCAACATTTATGGTTGTGGATTAGTTAAATAATATGTTTAAATAAACAGGCATAGATATATGAACCTGTCACACAATTAAACTGGCAGCTGTGCTCACGGCAGCTCCCACACTGCCAATGATGCCTTCACCTGCTGCAGCCCCTAATGACAAAGTACAACAGGTCTTTTTTTCAAAACAATTGATTTTTTAACACATTGTGAGACTCATTAAAAAAGTTCCATAATGTGATGAAACAGATAATGTAGTAAATATTTAAATTTAATATAATTTGTGCACAATACAGTAGTTAAACAGTTCAAAAGTGTTGGAAAAAGCAGCGTATATTATAAAGAAAAAAAAATTCAATACACAGAATTAATAAATAATTTCACCTGCAGCTCCTGCACTACAAACAAATGATCCCCCCAAAGCACCACCCAGAGTGCCCCCGATGGCACCTATAACAGCCTGAGCTGCAACAGGGATCCCAGCAGCACCTGATTAAAAAAAATAATAATAAAATGAACATGAGAAAGGGAGCTAATTGTAGCAGTATTTTTTTTACAAAAAACAAAAACAAATCAAAAACACAGGAGATACCAAATGCTGAGAAAAAAAAAATCTACTTAAACTGAAGTCACAGACACTATTATCCAAAGTGAGCAGAAGGGCTGCCAAAATCACACTGGACCCCTCACACTGCCTCTTTGAACTTTTACCTTCTGGTCGACGCTAAAGAGCACTGTGCACCAGAACAGCCCGACACAGAAACAGTTTCTTCCCTCAGGCAATCTCATGAACACTTGATGATAATAATTATGAAATAAACATCACTATTTGCTATACACTTTTTAAACACTTATTTAACAACATACTTTACCTGCCAATTTGCACATAACAGCTGCACATATAATGTTGTATAGTGATATACCTGTACATACACTTGTCAATTTGTATATTTGCATTCCACCTTTAAAATATATTTATTATCTGTTTTTGTCCTGCCTCTGTCATTCTGTTGCACTAGAATAATAGCTAAAGTGTCCATCAGTGGTAGGCACCCCTCAAAGTGGCAAGTTTTTAGCACTTCAATTTGAAACAACACTTCAATATTAAGGCCATGATCGTTTTCCCTTCTGTTCCCTTCAGAGGGTGGTATATTCCATTTGAAATGCAGCGAGAGCAATGCTGCGGTCACACTGGAGTTTGAGCTTGCCAAATTCTTATGTATGTTGGTGCAAAGCTGGCGTCACAGTGGCGCAGTGGGTAGCACGATCGCCTCACAGCAAGAAGGTTGCTGATTTGAGTCCAGGCTGGGCCACTTGGCATTTCTGTGTGGAGTTTGCATGTTCTCGACGTGTTCGCGTGGGTTTCCTCCGGGTGCTCCGGTTTCCCCCACAAGACATACAGGTGAATTGGGTAAGTCCAAAGACATACAGGTACAGGTGAACTGGGTAAGTCCAAAGACATACAGGTACAGGTACAGGTGAATTGGGTAAGTATAAAGACGTAAAGGTAAAGGTGAATTGAGTAAGTATAAAGACATACAGGTACAGGTGAATTAAGTAAGTATAAAGACATACAGGTACAGGTACAGGTGAATTGGGTAAGTATAAAGACGTAAAGGTGAATTGAGTAAGTATAAAGACATACAGGTACAGGTGAATTGAGTAAGTATAAAGACATACAGGTACAGGTACAGGTGAATTGAGTAAGTATAAAGACATACAGGTACAGGTACAGGTGAATTGAGTAAGTATAAAGACATACAGGTACAGGTACAGGTGAATTGAGTAGGTATAAAGACATACAGGTAGAGGTGAATTGAGTAGGTATAAAGACATACAGTTGAAGTGAAGAATTATTAGCCCCCCTTTGAATTTTTTTTCTTTCTTAAATATTTCCCAAATTATGTTTAACAGAGCAAGGAAACTTTCACAGTATATAATATAGTGATAATATTTTTTCTTCTGGAGAAAGTCTTATTTCTTTTATTTTGGCTAGAATAAAATCATTTTTTAATTTTTTAATTACCATTTTAGGGACAATATTATTAGCCTCTTAAAGCTAAATTTTTTTATCTGAGTCTACAGAACAAACCATCATTATACAATAACTTGCCTAATTACCCTAACCTGCTAAGTTAACCTAATTAACCGAGTTAAGCCTTTAAATGTCACTTTAAGCTGTATAGAAGTGTCTTGAAATATATCTAGTAAAATATTATGTAATGTCTTCATGGAAAAGATAAAAGAAATCAGTTATTAGAAATGAGTTATTAAAACTATTATGCTTAGAAATGTGTTGAAAAAATCTGCTCTCCGTTAAACAGAAATTGTGGAAAAAAATAAACAGGGGAGCGAATAATTCAGGAGGGCTAATAATTCTGACTTCAACTGTATGGGTACTTTTCTCCCCATATATACTTCCATTTATACTCACGCGAATGGGGAAGGCTGGAAACACAAGCTCGTGCAACAAGTTTCGCAGTTCGCTGCATTGCAAAGTTCAAGCTTGATGAACTCTGACCTGCGAAATCGCACCACTTGACTGCGATAGACCAATCAAGGATCAAATCATGACCTTTCTGGACAGAAATTCAAAACATGGACCAATTGCTCGCTTTTTTAAATGTCTAATTATCTTGTTTAATCCAACCCCTTTTCACAGCGTCGTAAGCTACAGAATTTCGCAAGCTTAAACTCTAGAGTGACCGCAGCTTCAAACTGATGTTTTAGTGAAAATTTAGTGTTAGACTGGCCATATTAACATACACTTTGTTTGTTTAAACCTATTAACACATAAAATTGGACTCACCTGCTGCTTGAAGGGCCGCTACCACTGATCCAGCAGCGATTCCGCCTCCGTTTGCCACAGCGGCTGCTGACATCATGCTGGAGGCAAGCGAACTTGCAGCAATTCCACCTGCGTGCAATTTTTTTTAATAAAAAGCTTAATTTTCAGTATTTTTTAAAGAAATTATGATGTCTTTGTTATCCAGAATTCTTATAATAGAAATGCTGTTAAAACTTAACTTGTGCTCTCTTTAAATTATAATGAAGAGCTATTTTATTGGTTAAATCTTCATTATATATCGTTGTTCTCACTGTGGTGTATGTAGGGCAGGGGTGTCCAAACTAGGTCCTGGAGGGCTGGTGTCCTGCATAGTTTAGCTCCAACTTCCGTCAACACACCTGTCTGGAAGTTACTGTATACATATAAAGAGCTTGATCAGCTGGTTCAGGTGTGTTTAATTGGGGTTGGAACTAAAATATGCAGGACACCGACCCAGAAGGACTGAGTTTCGAAACCCCTGATGTAGGGCATGTGTAGGTCCTTCTGCATCAACAGAAACTAGTAAATAGCATGAAACCATTTTTTATATTCTATGTCAGGGTTGGCAAGGAGGACCCAAAATGCAGAGAGGAGAATACAATTTGCATTTATAGGAGGGGAACAAGGCAAGGCAGAAGGCTAGTCCACACAATAGTACAGGGCGACTGCAAGAGAAAATGCTGGTGAGGGGGGACTCAGGTTTCAGGATGATACAGAGGGAAGTGTCTTAGTGATATGGGAAAAATTCAAACTACAGACCAAGCAGTCAGTAAGTAGCTAGAGGACTCCCAGGCTTGGTACATGCAGATAGAATGTTAAGGAGGATCCACAACCAGCAGAGACTCAGGAGGCAAGTGACAAGAGCAACACAACAGCGAGGTCTTGAACGTGAGGGAGATAAGAAAATCTAAAAAAAAAGAGTAAGCAAAAACAAATAAGAACAAAGTAAAAACAAGAAAGAAAAGGGGAAAAAAGATATAGATATATAAAACGAAACACAAAAAGACTAAATTTAACTACTAAAACTTTGAAAAGCTAAAGCTAGAACTAAAACAAAAATCTAAACAGCAAAAGGAAATAAAAGTAAAGAACTAACAAAAGACTAGGACTAGACTGAGGATCACAAAAATGGCAAAATGAACACTTGAAATAAGACTTGAACTACATTGTAAAACCCAGTAAGTTAAGGTTACTCAAACCATTTGAGGAAACCGATTGCAACAAACCATTTGAGTTCAAAAACTAATCCTAATGAGTACTGTGAACTTAATTCAATTGAGTAAACAAAGCAATTTGAGCACAGTAAAACTCAATAAATGAAAATTAGACAAACAAGGACTAATCGAGGGAGAGAGGCATAGGAAAACACAACAAAAGAAAGAGCCATTTAATACACAAGAGGCTTACGCAGACAGGTTTAACAGGATGTCTGTATGTTTGTTTTAACAATAAAGTTTAGACACATTAAACACAGACAGTAGTAGCAGGGCTGTTAGGGCTGAATCCTGACACTATATGCATAAGACAACAACACATGTAAAGGTGAAATTATGGAGATCAACATTAGAAAACAAACTAACTTTTCAAACTTTTAGGAAAGTTCCTAAATTTGTTAAAAAAGTTTCATTTTAATAAAATAAGAGCATGATGTCTCTATCCAGAATGTTCATAATACAAGTGTTATTAAAACTGTTCACTTGTGCTCTCATTAAAGTACGATTAAGAGCTTTTGTAATGGTTAAATCTTTATAATTTATCTATGTCATACATATCATTTTTTTTACTTGTTCAACTGACATCATGTAGCCTAGACAATATACAGTGGTTAATATTTGAAGAGGACAATCACCTTTTGAAAAAGTGTTCCTCAAATTCTTAAACAATACACATTCTTGTCTTGGGACATTATATTTAGAAAAATATTAATTATATAAAAATGTATATACTGTATATATACTTTTTGTAATGGATTGTTGTTCTGAGCATTAATTTATTAAATAAAAATATTCTTACCGGCAGTGAAACCGGCCAGTCCAAGAATAGCAGGAGCTCCAGCAACTGCTACGGCTATTTGTGGAAAAGTAGCATATTTAAAAAATAAAATAAAACTTTATTTAAAAACTTTAAATTTATACATTAAATTAAAATATACAAAGAAAAAATATATAGCCAACTGGTTCAGAAAATAAGCAGAGGAGAATTAGCTTAAATTAAAAAAAAATTATCATTTGTTTGAATTTGTTTTTCATGATGTAGACATTATAGAAATGTGTCGCAACATCCCTACATTGAAATTTAGATTAGAAAACAAAATAGAAAGAAACTATCAAATAACATGTTAAGAAAACTCAGCATTACCAGCTCCTGCACCAGCTGCAATCATTGTACCTTATAATAAAACATGCCATGTTAAAAAATATAAAATAATATAATATAAATGTAAATACGCAAAAAATACATATATTTTCTGTAATAAATGCATGTATTTCTGTAATCTAAAGGTGACTTACATGGATCCATGATCTTAAGTCAACTGGGAAGCTCTTGAACTGACTGCTGCTGCTGCTGTTAGAGTTTGCTTTTAAAGTTCTCTGGGTGTGTCCTTTTTCAGGAAAATGAAACTGCAGTTTACTTGTTTGTTTCAAGGTTCAAATTTGAAACTATTACAAGCAATAGCTTTTTAATATAGCTATGCATTTTGTCAAAGTTAGGAGAAGGCTACTGTATACGCAGTGAAATCATTTAAGGCAGCAAACAGATATACAATGCCAATAACTAAATCAATAACAAATTAAAGGGGTTCATGTAAATGTGCACATATTGTATATTTAGGCAAAGCAAGTGACACATACATTTGTTTAGATTTGCTTATTTAAATGCATACAAAGTAGAGGATATAAGCAATCTTTGAATACAATACTTCAGCTGCTTAACAATCTGTTGTCTGATTCTTCTTTTTATTTTCAACAGGTGAAAGACTTTTCTTTGCCCAAAAACTGAATTTTAAGGAAAATAATATATATATATATATATATATATATATATATATATATATATATATATATATATATATATATATATATATATATATATATATATAAAAAATAAAAAAACATTTTACAACCTTAAATTTTTTTTAAAGTCACACTGTTAAGAGGCATATCCTTATCTAACTGCAGCAAAATAAGACTCTATACTCTGTATAAATACTGACTTTTGTAAAGAATGTCACTGCATTCTGCACAGTCTGGAGGCTGCACTTAAGCGTTTCACTGACTGTAGCACATGTTCTTGGTGATGTGACAATTAAATTGATTGGATTTGAAAATTTACAATTGCATTGTATTTTAAAATTGTCAGTAATTTGAGGCAGCAAATAGATATACAATCACAATAAATAAATAACTAAATAAATAAAATTAAAGGTGTTCATGTAAATGTGCATGTATTGTAAATTTAGGCAAAGTAAGTGATTCTTAAATATGTTTGCTTATTTAAATACACACAAAGTAGAGAATAAGTTAAAGTAGGACTATACAAGATTTTAACTGCTCAACAGTCTGTTGTTGTTTGAATCTTGTTTTTTTTTTTAATATGAACTTTTGTTTGCCCAAAAATTTAATCTATTTATTTATTTATTTTAAAACAGTTACAGAATACAAAAATATCTTAAGGTAAAAACATTCTGCACATTCTGGAGCCTGCACTTAAACTTTTCACTGACTGTAGCACACATGCTCTTGGTGATGTGAGAAGGTAATTGGATTTGATTTGAAAATTGAATGGGACAGCTAAAGAGCAAAATGTCATTTAAAAATATGTTTTTCTATTGTAAGGCTGTGATGCTTTAGGAAATGAGTGCTGGTTATTAACCTAAATATGATGAATATGTTGAACAACCTGTTATGGGTTTTTGATGATGAGCTATTCTTATATCTTATTATCCATTACATCTCTGAACATAATGCAGTTTACAGTGAGCCTGAGTGAAAATATATCAACCTTATTATTTACACATCGTTTTTGACTTGCTTTGTGTTCTCTCTGTGGTGTATGTAGTGCATGTGTAGGTCCTTCTGCATCAACAGAAACCAATAAATAACATGCAACCTTTTTGTTATATTCTCCATACAAAAGACAACAACACATGTAAAGGTGAAATGATGAAGATCGATATTAGAACGCAAAGTAAATAGTTTCCTAAATTTTGAGGTCAATGCTTTGAAGTTATCCAGACAAGAGTGAAGGAGCAGGTTTATGTCAAACCTGAACTAGCAGCTTGAACTTTCTGTTTCCACTGACTTTGCAAGATGGTGAGCCATTTTAAAGCGACTGAAACCCTTGACGGGAAGATTCAGCCACAGTGAGAGAATTTGATCATTCCAAATCTGACTGTGATTTCTATAATATTGCTGATTTACAACATCAATAATTCAAGACCTCCAAAAGACCACTCATCCATTATAACAATAAATTCAAGGTATGAGAATTCATGACATTCTCTGCAAACACAAGACACAGACTGTCATCGTGGATTTCTAATGCAATTTATCTAATTACATTTTTATTTATTTTTTATTTGCTGAAATCTAAAGGTGACTTGCATGGATCTATGATCTTAAGTCAACTTTCAAGCTCTTCGACTGTTGCTGCTGTTTGGTTTTTAAGTTTTCTGGGTGTGTCTTTTTCAAGAAAATGAAACTGCAGTTTACTTATTTGTTTGTTTCAAAGTTCAATTGCTTTAAAATAGCTATGCAATTTCTCAGAATCAAGAAAAGGCTACTGTATATGTAGTGAAATTGTTTGTCTCAGTAATTCGAGGCAGCAAATAGATAAACAATGTCAATAAATAAACAAACAAACAAACAAACAAACAAATAAATAAATAAATAAATAAATAAACAAATAAATAAAAGTGTTCATGTAAATGTGCACGTATTGTAGATTTTGGTAAAGTAAGTGATACTTACATTTGTATATGATTGCTTATTTAAATACACACAAAGTAGAAGATAAGTATTATTTAAATCAAGAATGATAGACAAGACTAGAAAAATATGAACTTTACTTTACCAAAAAATGTAATCAATTTATTTATTGATTTATTTTTAACAGTTCCAAAACATTTACCAAGACAAGAAACAAAACTCTCATCTTAAGATAGGATTTGAATCTCATCTTGCTTAAAAGAAGATATTGTTTTGTTTTACCACACAACTTATAACAAGAGCAAATAATATTTGTAGTACAAGTTTAAAGTAAAAGGTGAAGAAATATAGATTTATTGTAATATTTTGAAGGAGTTAGTACATGTCTACATTTATGGCTGTGGATTAGTTAAATGCTATATGTTTGATTAAATAAATAGAAATTTATCATATAGTGAAGGGCATGTCAGGCAGTATCAACTATTCTCACAGCGACTTCCACAGTTCTGGCTTCGCCTGCTGCAGCACCTAATGACAAATTATAACAAAACTTATTTTCAAATCAGTTTCTCAGATGCTGTAGTTATGGCTTTTCAATTTTATAGTTACAAAAAATGTTACAACAAAAACTATTCAATACTTATGATTACTGTATGGCTTCACCTGCAGCTACTGAAGAACAATCTAAATAAGAGCAAACCACCCAAGAGTGCTAGCCGCAGCCCCTATGCCACCAATAACAGCCTGAGCTGCGGCAGGGATTCCAGCAGCACCTGAAAAAACAAACAAACAAACAAACAAAAATACTCTAAATCACATAAGAAACAGAGAAAATTGAGCGAGAATATAACTACAGCAGAAGTCACTTTATTTACAATTACATACAGATTGGAATTTTGATTTATGAGGACTGTCCATTGATGTAATGGATTTTATAGCATTAAAAATGTATGTATATTATATGGCCTATCTCACCCTCACACCTAAACTCAACCCTCATAGGCAAATTTTAAATGTAATAAGACTCAGTTAAGTGTGATTTTTTTTTAAGCAAGAACATAGAAGATGTGGTCATAAGTGAAGTTTTACAAACTATTTTCGAGAGGAGCACGTGATATAATTGATCACGGCTGGTCTCTCATCCGTAATCAGCAATAAGCCAATCAGATTGATCCAAGCCTACAATAAATAGACAGATTTTACCCTATACTGTCTTATCTTTGTTTTGAAAGAGTACCCCCATCTCCTCTTTTTACCAGAGGGAGCTCTCAAGGCCTACCTGATCAAGGACTCCCTTACATGCTAATTGACCAGGCGGGAGCCCTGGGCTCAATTATCTCCGAGCTCAGGGTTTACTACTGAGAAAGTATGACAAACCTGCTAAAGCAATATCCGAACTCTTGAAATCATATTAGAGTACAACTAGGTCATACTTATGTCATTATATAAACAACTAACCTTGTAAACCAATAAAACAGTACACACACACACACACACACAAATTGCACCTTTTGCACAGTGATTCAATACAGATACATGTCTGCTATGTGATGTGTATTAAGGCTCACCAGCTGCTTGAAGACCTGCTACCACTGATCCAGCCGCAACTCCTCCTCCGTTTGCTACAGCAGCAGCTGACATCATTGAGGAGGCAATCGAACCCGCAGCAATTCCAGCTCCAGTGAAACCTACAGCTGTTAGAACTACAGGAGCTGCAGCAATTGCTCCGGCTGTTGGCGACAATGGTATTTTAGTAAACAAAATCAGAAACTAAGACTAAAACTGTTGGTCAAAAAACTTTTTTTGTTGTAAACTGAAATAGTTTTAAAAATCTACAATAAATTAAGTGCTGGGCAAAGATTGATCATGTTTAAACGCATTCAAAAATAAAGGTGGTTTTGACATAATGCATGTCGATGTGTATATATTTTGTCACACACATACAGTTGAAGTCTGAATTATTAGCCCCCCTTTGATTTTTTTCTTTTTTAAATATTTTCCAAATGATGTTTATCAGAGCAAAATATTTTTTTACAGTATGTCTGATAATATTTTTTTCTTCAAAAGAAAGTCTTATTTGTATTATTTCAGCTAGAGTAAAAGCAGTTTTTAATTTTTAAAAACCATTTAATCTACAAAATAAATTTTTGTAATAAACCCGTGTTCTTTTCTGTTTTTGCTTGCTTCAGTACAGTATGATCTTTAAGATGAATTCATTTGTCTGAATTCATTGGACTAGTTTTTACTTTTAATAAAAATGTAAAGCTATAAATGATCTTGGTTTGATGAAACAAAACATTAATTCCAAAACTCTGGTAGATTAAACACGGATTACTAAATATCTAACTGCAAAATAATTAATTATGTGCATTTCTTTGTGCTCATGTTTTATTGAACTTTTTTTTGTGCTCATGTTGTATTGTAACTTTTTTTCCTGCTTATTAAGAGTAATTGTAATAAGTAAAGGTTATTTACAGATTATGTTATAGCTTAATGCAATATTACACGCTGGTGTTTATATAAAGGAAAAACATGTACACAATTAAACAACTAAGAATTTAAATGTTAGTACATAATTACATCATGTGGGTCTAAATAATAGCCTATATGACACTACAACTATTTGTTTATTCTTGATAAGAATAAATCTAAATGACTTCAGTATTTGATAGGATACTTACCTCCTCCTGCGACAGCTACGGCGGCTGTAACTGGGGACAGAAAAAAACAATAAATCAATTGTCATCTTTTTGCTAACAAACATTGAAGATTCTAAAGTTATATTCAAATATACTTACGTAGACCCATTTTCAGTAGAGTCTTGGGGTTTGAACTGAATGAATTCAGATAGGCTAGATGTTAGACGAATGTAAGAACTATAGCAAATGTTAGACCTGCAGCGACGTTTGCTTAAATAGCTCAGTGGGCGGCAACTTATCGAGAAATGAAAGCAAGAAGTACAAACACTGACTCCTTAACAACGCCAGGAGCTCTTTAATAGCACATCTTGAGTTCTCTTTACAATAAATCACCTTCCTTCATACCTTCCTCATTTGTAACTGACTTTGGTTTAAAGCATCTGCTAAATCACTCGATTTAAATGTGTCATCACTATAAAGTGCCTTTGATGTCCCACAAGATTAAATCAGTCCTATATGAACTTAATGCGGAATAATGAAATTCTGATGTTTTAATGTTATTGGTTAAACCTTTACAGGCATGCAGGTAGAAGTGTTTTGGAATATGTTTGTCAATTTTTGCAATATTCTTTCATTGAATGGATGCGACTTTGCCAGGTCATAAACTAGTTGCCATGTGATGCTCCGCCAACTTCTGTGCAGTCTAAAAAGTAGGTAAATTAGATAAAATTTTAAATAAATATAAGAGGCTATATAGCCTAATAAATTTTGATAACTTTTATTTTAAATTCATAATATTCATAATATACATAAAATTTTGCACGTGTCCTTGAGTTTGCTGTCCACCCTGTCATTATGTGGTAAATGCCCCTTTGGCATCCCCGTGCCCATTTTGCCTTTGTTCAGAGAAAAGGTTAAAGCATCTGCTGCACACAGTATCTACACTTTTGTTTTCTATTTTCCTCATTTTGTGTATCAAGCTTAACATGTCCACCCAATATATGTCTCAGTGACAGTTTATATAAAGGATATCCTTTTAAAGCAATATATTGGAGCTCATTGACTGTTTGAAATAAAAAAATACAGTCCTAAGTATTTGACATTTACTTGACCATCTGTAATCAAATATTTACCTTTTTCTGAAAAAACAAATCGAAACACAGTAAGGTGTTTTACTTCCCGTCACTCCTCCAGTACAATGTAAGGATTTACATTCATTGGCAAATTTAGTTCATTTGAAGGTCAATAATTGTTTATTTTCCCACTAATTTGCACATTGACAAAACTTAACAGAAGAGGTGGCATTGTGGCTCAGTGGTTTGCAGTATTAACCTTTGAATATTTCTTGTTGTACCTGTTGTTTTTCAAATCTCCCTCCATATTGTCCACCCTGTCATCTAGTTTTCCACCGCCATGTTCAACTTTTATGAAAATAAACGAATTATTTATAACCTCAGCAAAACATCTTGTGTGATTCCTTAATTAACCAATATGGCCAGGTAATATTGTTTAAAAGTTTGATCTTGGGTTTTATTTTGAAAAGGATGTGCAAAGAGTTTGCATATTTTACTGGGAAATAGATGTTTTGTTTATTATTTTATTAATATAGATTTTTTTTATTAATATAGATCCTTTTGCATAAAGTTGGGCTGGTAAAGGGACACATTACCTTTCTGAAAATATACATTTTGTAATCACACTGCAATGAAAATATACTTATACTACTTTGAATTTGTCCACAGCAGGGTTGACAGTTTGAGGTACAGTAAAAAAGTAAAACATCTTGAGGTCTTTACAATGAATCACCTTCCTTTATTCCTTCCCTATTTGTAACTCACTTTGGCTAAAAGCATTTGTTAATTGATGCAAAATCAGTTATTAGAAATGACTTAAAACAAAATAAAATAAAAGTGATGCATATACATCAGCAAAAAACATGCAAACAAAAATTGTGCCAGTGACCGAACCTACCCCTCAGAGACATCACTAACTCCACTGAGTGCAGTGTCTCACATTGCATTGCTGAGAGAAGCAATCTCTGCTTGCATCATAAAGGCTGCATCCAGATACTTTTGGATGAGAAGCCTTTGTTGATTGAAGCCTGATAACATCACCCAGTTGCTGCAGATTTGTCGGCTGCACATCCATGATGCGAATCTCCCATTCCACCACATACCGAAGGTGCTCTATTGGATTGAGATCTGGTGACTGTGGAGACCATTTGAGTACAGTGAACTCACTGTCATGTTCAAGAAACCTGAGAGCTGAAATGATTCACGCTTTATGACATCAGAAGATGAGTACACTGTGGTCATAAAGAGATGGGCATGGTCAGCAACAATACTCAGGTAGGCTGTGGCGTTGACACAATGCTCAATTGGTACAAATGCGCCCAAAGTGTGCCAAGAAAAAAATCCCCCACACCATTACACCACCACCAGCAACCTGAACCGTTGATACAAAGCAGGATGGATCCATGGTTTCATGTTGTTGACACCAAGTTTTAACCCTACCATCCGAATGTTGCAGCAGAAATTGAGACTCATCAGACCAGGCAACTTTATTCCAATTTTGCAATTTTGGTGAGCCCGTGCGAATTGTAGCCTCAGTTTCTTGTTGTTATCGGACAGGAGTGGCACCAGGTGTGGTCTTTTGCTGCTGCAGCCCATCTACCTCAAATCTCGACGTGTTGTGTATTCATAGATGCTCTTTTGCATACCTTGGTGGTTGTAACGAGTGGTTACTTGAGTTACTGTTGTCTTTCTATCAGCTCGAACCAGTCTGGCCTTTTCCCCTGTCATCAACAAGGCATTTGCGCCTACAGAACTGCCGCTCACTGGATATTTTCCCTTTTTTGGACCATTCTCTGAAAACCCTAGAGATGTTTGTGCGTGAAAATCCCAGTAGATCAAAAGTTTCTGAAATACTCAGACTAGCCCGTCTGGCACCAACAACCTTGCCACATTCAGTCACTCAAATCACCTTTCTTCCCAATTCTGATGCTCGGTTCGAACAGCAGCAGATCGTCTTGACCATGTGTACATGCCTACATGAGTTGCTGCACTGTATTTGGCTGAGTAGAAACTTGCTTTAATGCAGTTGGACAGGTGTACCTAATAAAGTGGCCGGTGTGTGTGTGTGTGTGTGTGTGTGTGTATATATATATATATATATATTTTTTTTTTTTTTTTTTTTTTTGTAAGCTTTTTTTCAGTCTCTGGAAGGTTTTATATGTGAGTTCAGGAAATCAGGTTTTGTTTTCTGATTTTACACTCGTTTATTTTTTATTTGCTCATTACAAAATGATACATTTGGATAAAACATTAAAAAAAGTTCAACTTGTTTAATCACAATACTCAAAGTGGCTTTGATTAAACTTGAGTATTTCCTTGTTAGGAGACAAAACAACATTAAATACATTTCCTTAGTTTAATTATTCTTAATAAGCTTACAAAATGAAGTGTCATCAATCAAAATACATGCACATCTAGGTGCAGGTGTGTAAAATTAGCATGTACACAGATGCAAAGTGAACACAAACATCCACTGTGATCAGTTATTAACAAATGCTTCTTATTTTGGCACAAGCTCTTTAGTCTCCAGATTGATCATCTCTTCATCCTCCTCTTCCTCCTCCTCTTCAGGTGAAGGTGGACTGTTGGAATGAGAAAGTAAAACTGCTGCTCCACCCGCTGCTCCACCTGCTGCTCCACCCGCTGCACCACCAACTGCACCACCAATTACACCACCCACTGATGCCACTGCTGCGGCCGCACCGGCAGACAGTCCGGCAGCACCTGACCAGCAAAAAAAAAAAAAATCATTAAATTCATTAAATCATTAAATTGGTGAGCTTTGAGTAACATTGTACTGTTTATGTGTCCTTTGTATTATGCAAGAACCAACTGATGAGGAGCTGTTGATTTATTAGAAAACAATGCACAATCTAGATGACCACAAAGGAGGAGTGTGAGACCTCAGGTGTGTTTTATCTACTAATAATTCAACAGATCGGTGTCGATTATTGTGCTTTTATTACAGCTACAATACCTAAAACATAATTCAGGTGTTGCATTTCAAGGCATTTGTCAGGTTTTTGTCCTCATCTGTTGTTTGTAGGACTGCTTTACTCACTTCATCCAAAACCCTTTATTCTAGTTTTTATTTTTGACTGTTGTTGGGTGTGAAGGTACGTTAAGCTTGACATTTTAACATGACCTTTCTGTGGTCAATGCTCCTTTGAGTTCACTGTATTTTGTTCCTCCAGATTGTATTATTTTTGTATTACGGACAGAACAGTAATATTCACATATACATGTGTGATATTGCCATGTAAATATTTGTTTTGAGTTTGAGAGTTTTTCATGGTCTGCCAAAAATATATAATTTTTATTTAAAATTGCCTTTTAACTTTTAATGGATGAAACGTGAGGAGAATAATACACTCTCAGAAAAAAGGTACACGGTGGTACAAATAATGTTCCTTCAGGAATAGTTTTGGATCTTTGTAAAAGTTGTACCTTATATGGTACAGAAAAGACCTCCTATTAAAAATTTATTAAGTTCTATAATACACTAATAAAAAAAACAACTAGTAAAACATGAAACTATAGCAATTGTAAACTAAATATTTAAGGCATTTTAAATAAATGTTTGGTAAGCATTTTTGACACTTTTAAAGTACAAAGTGTCTTGTCACTGTAATGGTACCTTCATGGATCAGATTTGTACCTTTAATGAAGGTACAATATTGTATCTTCAATATTGAAGTTAGAATATTGAAATCTTATAATATTGTAATATTGTACATTTTAATAATGTATTATTAAAAAAACAAAAGGTACATTTTGGTTTCACATGATACAAATGAAGAGTTCAGATGCAAAAACCTCTAAATGCCATCTGAAATATTCTTCTAAAATTAACATTTTTATCAGGATCCTGTGTGTAGGTTCAATAATACTATTTTATGGCAAAGATAAAGTGCTTTTCCTGGTCTTTAAAGTGAAATATCTCAACACAAATGAAGGAGGCTGAGAAAAAAAAATCATTTTCGATGGAAATTTCAGATGGTACTTAGATGTTTCTGCATCTGAACTCTTCAAATCATGTCCTTAATAGAAAATAGCAACTTTATAGGTAGCTATAAAAGGGTCAAGTTTTAAATAGGAAAAAGATCAAAACATTTTTGGGGGAATTTTTGAGTGAAATGCTAATGGTTTAATCTGATTCAGTGATTTATGCTAAGCTAAGTTAAAGTACTCCCATCAGATCCAGAAATTGGCTGAATGGATTAAAAAAAAATTAAAACACAACGATTGAACTTTAGGGGAGTTGTAAAATAAGTCTATTTCCAAAAAAAGTGTTCCTTTAAGGCAGGGGTGTCAACCTCAGTTCCTAAGGAGTGCTGCAGCTCTGCACAGTTTAGTTGTAACCCTGCTTCAACACACTTAATGGTGCAGAATGTAAGTTTGACGCCCAGTGGTTAAACTAGGTATTACATTCCTGGATCAAAGCAAACAGAAGTGCAAGTTGACAGATTGATGACCAACAGGAGCGAGTCTGACAATCGCGCCTAAAGGCCGATTTAAATCATGTTCTATATAAAACCAAAGGCACGAAACAGACGGAATATTTTCCATATTAAGAGGAGGTTTTGTTTTAACCAACACCTCGAATTGATATATTAGAAACAGCTTTTATATCTCACAGGTAAACCATAGGATAAACTGTGATCACCTCAGGTCCACCTCATGTGCTTTATTCAGTGTTAAATGCTGATAATGCGAGTTGTAATGCCATTTCACATGACATTTATTGCCATACTATTGAAAGCAGCAGCAGATAGTTCACCTCAGATTCTGAAAATAAAATAAACTGTTTGACATTGAACTAAACACATATGAGTGATTCAGCATGTACAATGAATAATGTTAAAGAGTTTTAATATGTATTAACTAGAGTTTAAACCTTACCATTTCGTGAGTGAGTGCATATTCTGTGCTTCTGAATGGCTGTATTTAAATTTCTGTCGTGTTTCGTCCGGTGCAAACAGATTGCAAATCACTGCAAATTTTGTCATGTAGCGTTTTGTTAGGACACGGGGTTACGATATAATCTGCTCCCCTAATGTTTACATTTTTAATATTTATTTTATTTGCTAATTAATAAGCTCATGTGGAACTATGCCTATGTTATTTTAGAGTCTGCTACTGTCCTGATGCTTTAAGAGCCTTTCTGACGAGTGAAGGAAATACGCAGTTTTTCGACAAGTCACGCGGGGTGCTGAAATATAATTGGCTAAACTAGCATTGGGCGGGTCAAAAAAACCAAAACAAAGACAGCCGTTCCGGCACATAACACACATTTTCAAACCAGAATATCTGACTTCAGCATTGTTTTTCAGATAAACAAGAATGTTCACTTGGCACGTTTCTGAAATATCTGCAAACATATGATGGTATTTTTAAGCTTTAAAAGAGTTATAAAAAAAACTTGCATACAGCATCTTTAAGCTGAGCTCACACTGCACTTTTCTGCCCATAGACTTCCATTCATACGAATTTGAATGCGACAAACCGGAAGCACAAGCTCATGTGACAAGTTTTTTATAGTTCGCTGCATTCGACAGTTCTATTGAGTATCAAAACTTGACCTCTCTGTACAAAAATGTAAAACATGGACAAATTGCTATTTTTTTTTATGTTTAATCATCATGTTTATTCCGGCCCCTTTTCACAGCACCGTACAACAGAATTCCTCAAGCTCATTCCTCAAGCATTATCTGTAGGTTTCAAACAAGACTAAAGGACTCAATTATTTTGATCAGGTGTGTTTAAACTGTGCAGAGCTTCAGCCCTCAAGGAACAGAGTTTGACACCTGTGCTTTAAGACATTGAAATGTATTTACCTGCTGACTGGAGGACGGCGACCAAACTTCCTGCTGCAACAGCACCTCCGTTAGCTACGGCTGCTGAAGACATCATGCCGGCGGCCAGAGAACCTGCTGCTATACCAGCAGAGGTGAACCCAGCCACGGTCAGTGCCACCGGAGCTAACACAACTGCAGCAACTAGTGGACAGAAACACCACTTAATATCTTCTGCATAAACAACCCTTAAAGCATCTTTACCTGCTGGAAGTGGAACTTGCATTCACTATTTTTGTATGTTTCCTACAGTGTCTGGCTAAGTAGAATAATTAGTCTCATGATTACAATTTCATCAAATTGCCTTAAAGACTAACTAAATGCACTACAGAATGTTACGTTTCTAAGCACATGTACAAATCGCTTGGTTGGCTTGGTTTACTGCTCCAACTGCTGGACACCTCAAGCTTGTTAGTCAGGGTTTGAAGTTAACTTTACGTTTTAGGTTACACAGATTTTGCTCCACATGTAAAGTTACTTACAGGAGCATGTATTCATGTAATGTGTTCTCACATCAAATAATTTCAATTTTTCAATTTATATTTTAATATTTGAAGCTAATTTACATTGTTGATTAGCTGCTGGGCATTTCACTCTGTCTCGCACTGAAGGCTGTCAGTATCGACCAATCACAGCAGGCTGTCATCGATCCAATTAGCGCAGATTAGCTTCGTGCTAAGGAGGGGTTTGGGAACAAATAAATCACTGAACGATTCATATGGGAATAATCGCTGGAATAATTAGGTAAAAATAAATGCAGATTGTAAGACCATGAAAGTGTTTTTTGACCTTCCATGCATATTAGACTGTTGTTGGAGACCCTTACAACCAATTTCATATATAATAGGGGCTATTTAAAAACTCACAACCTCTTGAACACTTTTAAAAGGGCAACTGCTTTTACTCTTACTTTCTTTTGAGTGTTAGTTAGAATCAAGCAGCAACCTCCCGCTCTCCCTCAGGAAGCCAATACGGAAGTAACTAAAACTGCAATTCATCCGAAATTCCGCTAGTCCTGGCCGCTCCTGGCTCCAAAACAGAGCAAATTTCAATTGAGTCCACTGTTAGAATGGCCAACTTTACAGCAGAAAAAAAGGTGTTTACAGCCTGGTAGAAAAAAAGATTTTGGTTAATACAGCTAATATTACCCTTCATGACTACTGTGAGGGGGGTGAATTTTTTTATAACTCATCTGTTTCCTTTATATTAAGTTATATTAAGTTTGCATAATTAAGGGCGTGGCCACTTGAGTGACAGTTAGGTCTCGCTGGTCGCCGTCACGTCACCTCAGCTGAATCCTGCAGATTATCCAATGAACTCCGCATATTTATCGTATTTCTGTGTTGTTTTATGTGGCTTTACACAGTAGACTGCCTTTTGGACTTGTTTCCTACAATTATTTGATGGAATGTCATGCTGAGTGCACTTAATTGGGCTCACAAACCATTCACGTGGCCTCCGTTTCCCATGTGAGTAAAGTTATATACTTATATACCATCTCTTTACATGTACTTGTTTTATTTAAGATCATTTATCGTTTATATTTATATTTAGAGCTGTAATGCACTCCAGAATCTGACGAATTGATTAGCTGTAGGCTCTAGAACAGTCATCTGAAGCGTTTTCATACAGTGTTATGCTGGATTTCATCAATAGTCTTGCATTTACTAACACAGACTATATCTGAAGTGTTTGGATGTAATTCGCGTTTTCCTCCTGTTGAGAAACGTCATAAGAACAATGTTTAGTGGCTCTGTGTATTACTACAGTGTGTTTTTAAATGACTAAACACTTTATTGATATAGTATACAACCAAGCACAAGTGGTCAGAATACAAACGAGTGACAAGTGATAAAGTATTAAGCATTTCTCCCAAAGTAAAGTGTGTCTGAACCAGGTCCAAGCTAAATGCAGCATGTGTCTGTAGCTCCGCCTCACTCTCCGCCTCTTTGCCCTTGTTTGGTATCCCGCCGTGGGTGTGATGACGCGCGAACAAAATGGCGACGGTTGGCCGCGCCTACTTGTGGCTTCTTTTGCGCTCTTTAGAAACCTATGGGTGACATCACGGATACTACGTCCATATATTTTACAGTCTATGGTTAGAATACATACTTTGAATAGTTTATTTTTAAGCAATGGTACTTGTAATTGACATTACTAGATTTCCTTAGTCATCTTAAACCCCTGATTCTATTTACACAATTTATGGAAGTATAAAGCATTTCTATATGCAATGTAGATGCTACTGTGTGTTTTCTGAATGGAAATACTTGCACATGTTTTGAGCTCAAGTAATACATTATAAAACAGTATGTAATAATAATCCCATATTGAATGTGAATTTTTATCAAACTGGTGCTGCCTTATATACTTCTTCTAGCAGGAAAAGCTGAGTGCAATCTGATTCTCGGTTTACCTGCTCCAGTTGCAACCCCAATGAGGGTGAACAGTCCTGAAAAACAAATAAATAAAACTCATTAAATCAATGTCTTTTTTTTTTTTTTTTAGCAGATTTGCAGTTTTAACAGTAAACCCAGTCACAATTTTCATTATAAATGCATTTTGCAAAATATTTAAGCACATGTGGATACTCACTAAATTAAGTAAATGAATCCATTCATATATATATATATATATATATATATATATATATATATATATATTTACAATTTCTTACAATAATGGAGGTCACTGGTTCAAGCCCCTGCTGGGCCAGTCGGCATTTCTGTATTGAGTTTGCATGTTCTCCCTGTGTTCGCATGGGTTTCCTCCGGGTGCTCCGGTTTCCCCCACAGTCTAAAGACGTGCTATAGGTGAATTGGGTAAAGTAAACTGGCCATAGTGTATGTGCGTGAATGCAAGAGTGTTTGGGTGTTTCCCAGCAATGGGTTGCAGCTGAAAAGACATCCACTGCGTAAAACATAGGGTGGATAAGATGGTGGTTCATTCCGCTGTGGTGACCCCTGAACAATAAAGGGACTAAGCCGAAAAGAAAATGAATGAAGGTTAGAAAAATCTGTTTTTACCCTCAAAATAAAGCACCATCCTGTTGGCTGTGGGGATGAGCAGTTTTGTGGTGGTTGAAATTTTGAATTAATTAAAGAACAATTATTGCCACGTTAATACCTCACAAGGCTGTAACTGTTTAAATAACATATTGTTTAATTTTAACTCTTAAACTGCCACAACAAGAAAAAAAATGGATCGCATTTCTTAACTCCTAATGTTGCTAATTAACACAATGCATTTTTTTCAACACATCCCATAATTTCTAAAAAATATCAACCTCTACCAAATGGTTGATATGTCGGTTTATGTTACGGCATTAATATGTATACTATGAAAATCAGAAAACATGAAGTGTAAGACCAATTTATTTAAAAACAATGAAAATAAAACATTTTTAAATACTAAATCTTCATTATTGTTTGAAGTATGCCATTGAATATTTCAGATTGTAATGTACATGTTTTCTTGTTTTGTTTTACAATAAAACCAAAATCAGTGTAGTGCAACAGGATTATATTAGTTTGATTTTTTGTAAACCAATGATGTGTGTAAACCATTAAAACAGTCAAAATATGGTCAACTATTTGGTAGAGCGGGCAGTTGAAGGGAAAGCGGATATTAAATTATATTTAGCTTATACTTTTGCTTTTTGACAGATATTTCTGTCTTCCGTCTCCGAGGATCAAACAAGAAAACAAAGAAAACAATATAGGCCAAAAAATGCAGATTATAATATAAATACACACGCCTTTTTATATCCCATATTAATAAAGCAAACATATATGCTACTCACCACGCCGCCTCATGCTTTTGCAGGTCGTTGTCTACAGAGAGATTAGTTCTTCTCTTTGCTGGACGTAAGGAAACCGAAACTGCTTCCTGGAAATCACGTGTGTAAGGTGTGTTGCTTTTTAAACAAATAACCTTAAAACATTAACTGTATTTTTTACGTGCATCGAGATGTCTCTGACTGTGGATTCAAAGCCCACTTATTTTTTTTTTCAATAGACTGTGTTTGACACCACTGAATCGGGCTATTGTTACCGTCTGAAAAACAACAACAACAACAACAACAACAACAAAAAAAAAACAGCTGAGGAATGTACGTGGGCACTGGGTAGTTGCAAACTTACAAATAGGGCAACAGGCAGTAAAAAAGCAAACAAACAAACAAAAAAAAATACATTTTATTTTGGAAAGCAATTTTTAAAGATTTATATATATATATATATATATATATATATATATATATATATATATATATATATATATATATATATATATATATATATATATATATATATACACAGTGCTCTGCATAGACTATATAAGTAAACCCCTCACAAATCATCTTTAAATTTAAATTAATATTTTAACAAGAAGCTAAATAATACTAGATTTGTGCATATCCATTAGATTATTCAGTACTCAGTACTGAAGCCAAATCTGGAGCTTATATATCAAAATAATTTACGATAATGGTCCTAAAACTAGTACAGCCTAATTTATGTTATAGAAAAATATTAAATACAAATAAAAAAGAAAAATCAAGAGAAGCAAACCATTTAGTTGAAAATTAAAAATGTCGTAGGTTGTAAAATATCTTTGTAATTTTTTGCTTGAATTTAATTGTATTATCTTTTAATTTTTAGATATGTTTGGTGATTAAAATATTATTTAAATAAATATATGTTTAATAAATCTGTTCTGTTTAAATGCATCAAAATACATTGCCTATAATCACTGAGAAAAGATAAAAATATTCATTTTCAAAATGGGCTGTACTCAATATGCTGAGCACTTTATATGTATATAATTATGCATAAATGGTCACTATAACTTTAACAATTTTTTTGCACTTTTTTATTTTTACTGAACAGTTGCCTACTGTAAATATGTCCAATAGTGTGACATAGCAAATTTTAAGAAAAAACTACTTTAAATAATATACTGTGTAGATAACATGAAAGCAATTTATGTTTGACACTTATCTTCATATAGTGCTACTTATGCTATTTGAAATTATGAATAGCATTATTTATTTTCTCCATGACTCATTACACATTTGCAATAAATATACAGACTATTTAATATTTAATAATTTTTTGTTCAAAATCATTGACCAACAAATCAGGCTCCAGCTGAAACTTTTGCTTTGGTATTCCCCTTTTAGAGATCCTCCTGAAGAGTGCAATACTTGTAATGCTTCTCAGATCCATCCAATATTATACAGGCGGTTTGTTTCTTTTTATAGACTCCAGTTGCTTTTACAGGAATATCATTCATTGGTTTGTTCCTTCATTTATTTCAGCATTTTATTGCTTTACATATTTTGAAATATGAAAACAATGTAAGGTACTTTAGGACTGACCTAGCACCCAAACTAATAAATCAGCATGTTGAATAGTACATTTATGCATATGTAGCAGATATTATTTTATCCAAAATGAATTAACACTGCATTCACATTTCATAACTTCAAGCATTCTCTGAGAAGCAAAGAACAGAATACAAAGAATACAAGACATTGTGGATTTATATTGCAATTTATTTTAATCATTTTAAAGCAAACTCATAACAAGAGAAAGATCTTTTACTCTTAAGAAAATATATTGTATTGCTATAACTACTGATTGCTTTTAAACAAACAACAAAATTAATTTGCTTTTGCTGCAGCAACTAATGACAAATTATAACAGGACTTTAATTCTAAATCATAGATTTTTTTCAACACGATGTAGGACTCACTTAATAGAGCTATCTCTGGTTCAAATACCAGCTGCACCAGATCTTGCAGGTGCTCCAGTTTCCTCTACAGTCCAAAGACGTTTGATATAATAATTGGATAATTTAATTGGCTGTAATGTGTGAATTGGAAAATGTATGTTTTTTTTTTCAACACTGGGATAGCATGAAAGGGCAGCTGCTCTGTAAAACATATGCCTGAGTAATTGGCGGTTCATTCCACTGTGGCGACCCCTGATAAAGCAGGGAAGAAGGTGAGTTAGTGTATTTTGCAAAATTGTTTGCATTTTATTGTTTAACATATTTTGAATTACAAATATTTACAACATTCAATTACTTTACTACTGCATGGGCTCGTAAACCAGGCTATATGAGCACTTTTGATGTAGTAGCGGCATTGTTCATCCAAAAGGACTTAACATTCCATTCACAATATAACAATTTATGACTTTCAACATTCTCTGAGAATCATAACACAACCTTGTTGTTTCTAGAACTGTTTATTATTTTTGTTATTATTATTTAAGAAAATACAACACAGAGACCGTTGATGATTTATAATGCAATTTATTTAAACCTTTTAATTAAGATTTTAACAAGATTTAATCTGATCTTACTTTGGATAATATATTGTTTTGTTATACCATACAATTGATAACAACAGCAAACAATAAAGTAGCTACAGGAATTTAAGAATATCACATTTAAAAGTAGTTAGTAGTGTCTACTTTTATGGCCGTAAATTAGCTAAAAGTTAATATCATGTAGTGAAGGGTTTGTCAGGCACAGATGAACCGTCTCTCAGGCCGGCTTTTCACCTGCAGCACCTGCACTACAGAGCCCCTTTGGCGCCAAAAACAATTTTAGCTGCGGCAGACAATCCAGCAGCACCTGATAAACAAAATAGCAGCTATTGAGGTGGGATTTAACTGCAAAAGTCACTTTATTTATAACACAGACACACACAAAACTTTTTTGTGTGTGAACTGAACCTGTGATAGGCTCACCAATTGCTTGAAGCAATAGCCCCTTTCACACAGTGATACCGGTAAATATCTGGAAAATTTCTGGAACGACTTTACCGGTATATTCAAAAAAGCGCTGTTCACACAGGTGAGGACGTTACGGAAATTTTCCGGAAAAGAGCATTCACACATCCATTCCAAAAATACCGGTAAATTCTGACATCATTCACCACAAATGAGCTTTAAACGGCTGCGCTTGTATTTGTAAACATTTGACTATAAATTACAAACTCTGTGGATGATCAATATTGTGAACAACTTTCGCAGGATCACTTTCGCATGTCGAGATTCATAATATGTGCGTGTGCAGTCGCTCACAGGCTGTTTTCACAGGCACACGCAAAGCTTGAAGGTAAACAAACAACGGCTTATCATAAGCATCTCATCGATGATTATTTATACAGTTGGCATTAAGAAGAACATATAAACGTGATCTGACTAACTTCTAGCAGCTAAATGTGTCTGGAAAAATATTCAAAGGCTTTTATTCTCATGAACCGCGCGGACGTAAACGCGTCTGAATGTTGTGATTGGCTAAAGCAGACGTCTCACGTCAGCACGTTCTAGACGTGCACGCGCTTATTACGGTAATCTTCCTTCTGCATTCACACAGCGCAGCATTCCGGCAAATTGCCGGTAATGTTACAACTTCTCTTTCCGGAAAATAGCCAGAACGAATTTACCGGTATTTTCAAAAAGGACCTGTTCACACATACAACCTTTCCGGAAAATTGCCGGCAATTTTCCGGAAAGGTCTGTATGTGTGAAAGGGGCTAATGACACCAGCGACCCAGCCGCGACTCCTCCTCCATTTGCCTTGGCAGTTACTGACATCATCCAGGAGGCAAACGAACCTGCAGATATTCCACCTGCTGTGAAACCCATAGCTGATACTGCTGCAGGAGCAGCTGCAAATAGGCCTACTGCGACTGTTGATGAAAAGAAGATAGTTAAAGTTACGTTGTAGCCTACATAGAATAAAAAGAAAGTAATACTGGTTAAATGCTTATTTTCAATGGAAAGTCAATATCTGTGTGTTGTATAAAGTTTATTAATCATATACCGAAATACTGTGAAGATTACTGATTAGGATGTACTCACATGTTTGTTATTTCTGCCTGTACATTTTTTTATTGGATTTTCTGAACATTTCCAGTCAAATGCATACTAATTCTTACAATATTACATATTTTAGCATAACATGTGTGACAAAATAACAAAAAGCAAAAGGAAGGAAAGAAAGAAAAATAAAACAAATAAAGAACAGGAGCGGGTATACATAACATATAGAGAAGAGGAGTTTAGCCGTAAGTATATTCACAGTCCTGGTCGCTTTACAAGTTGAAAGTCCTTTAAGAGTCTCAAAATTAATTTTTAAATCAGCCTTGAAATGAAATATGTTAGGCTTCCTCTCCAACCATTTACATGTGTATGTGAAACTTGCCCAATAATATCAACATAGCCTATTAAACATAAACAGGAGATTCTCATCTATATCTTGTTTATCTATAATAAACATGACATCTCTTTTCTCAATAAAAATTCTATGACTGCCCGTTTTAGACGTTGCTATAGGCTACTGTATTAATATCTCAGGTAGCGCGTGCGCTGTAATGTTGTTTACCACTTCATGAGTCAGCTGGGGGCTCATGTGCGCAGTTCGTGGTGCTAACGCACACGCATAGACTTTGGATCAACTGATGACAGCAATTGTACATCAGTTTAACACATTGTGTTTATACTCTATATTTACTACTATATTCATTCACTTACTATGTAAATGTATTATTATTACATTTATCTGTTTATATTTACGTTGCAGAACCACACACAAAATTTTCTGTTGAATTTGTATGATTTTGCATTCAGTGTTTATTATTTAATTTTTATAACTAAGAAGTTTGAACAAGTAAATTTGGTTTGGTCGACACTAGACGTGACGTGTTAACTCTGCTAAACTAGAATTAGGCTACTAATAAAACGGAACCTTAAACTAAATTATAAAATCTAAATAGAAATGTGTTCACAAAATAAAAAAAAAAATAACTAAACGAACAAAAATGAAACGAACTAAACTGAAATGTAGGCCACAACAAATATAATAATGTACACAATAAGTGCATTGGACAAACAATAATTTAAATGTTAGTACATCATAACAACATTTTATTTATTTATTATCGATAAGAAGTAGCCTTTAACACGTAAAAACATATTTGATATTTACCTGCTCCTGCACCAGCGAGAATTGTAACTTGGGAATAAAAAAAATAAAGAAATAAATTACATGTCAGTTGTTAATGGCCAAACTTTAATATTCTAATTAACTTTACATTCAAAGATGCTTACCTAGACCCATCTTCAGTCAAGTCTAAGCGGAGAAACTCGGAATGAATTCAGATTTGTGAACGCTAGATTAAATGGTTTAGTGGGCGGCTGCTTATCAAGAAATGAAACAGAACAATTCATTTCTCTAGGGTCTCATGTGTTTTCTTTACAATTAATCACCTTCTTCATGTCTTCCTGGACAAAACAATAGACAGAATTCCTTAGAATTAGCTCCTTAAACGTTTAAAATCCTGAAAATAACCACATGTCTAGTATTAACAAATATATTCGCGTATCATTGCAATGAGGGACTTAAAAAGTTTAAGATTACCGGCAGGCATCACACAATAACGAGAACATCAGCTCATCTGTTCACATGGAACAATCAGTGCTGCATCCACCGATATCAAAAGATGACTGTTTATTGTAAGTAAAGCCAGAGAAAGATAGGCTAAAGTGCTTGCCTCAGCTAAATATGGTGCAGTTTCCACAACATTTAATTACAATAATGAAATAATATTTTAGTGTCTATAAATAGATTTACGCAATACAAATAAATACTAGAGAAATACATGTGAAGAAAGCAAAAAAGATACAAAGTGCTTGCCTTAAGGAAGCAATTGAAGGCATTGAACAACATTTTCAAATGTTTTGTTAAATGCAAATAATATACTATTTTAAAAATGTGTCATTTTATATGTTTATTACGCAATACAAACAAACAAAACAGAAATAAAGAAACAAGCTCATACAACTGATTTTATGAGAGGGGTCTGGCTGCATTTAATGCATTTTAATGTGCTCACCTAACCCCACCCCTCACTGTGACGCCACTCTCCATTGAGTGCATTGTGTCTGACACTGCATCTCTGAGCTATGCAATCTCAGCTTGCATTATAAAGGCTGCATCCAGAAACTATTGGATTTTATACATGACCAGAAACTGAAACTTCTTCCTGTGAATTAAGAAACAGACTTGGTTATGTCTGAAAAACAAAACAAAACACTATAAATTATAGAAACACTGAAGTACAGTAAATAAGTACACCTCTTTTTAAAAATTAATATTTTTACCATAACTCAGTGAATATAAGCAATATTTATTGGTGCATTTTAAACAAAAAAGTTTTTTTAAACTTATATAAATAATATAAATAAGATATATTCTTATATAAATAAGAGTTTGGTCACCGAACATCTTTAGGAAAATAAGGATAATATATTTAATTGTAAAAAAAAAAAAAAAACAAAAAAAAAAACTTACAAACATTTTTTATGTTTCTTTTGATTTTTCATATTTTCCCCAATATTAATTTGTGTGTACAAATTTTTGGTCTGATTTTAAGATATTTTTTTAGATTTGGTTTCTGATTTGGCCAGACGGGCTGGTTTGAGTATTTTAGAAACTGCTGATCTACTGGGATTTTCAAGCACAACCATCCCTAGGGTTTACAGAGATCGGTCCAAAAAGGGAAAATATCCAGTGAGCGGCAGTTCTGTGGGGCCAAATGCCTTGTTGATGCCAGAAGTCAGAGAAGAATGGCTAGACTGGTTCAAGCTGATAGAAAGGCAACAGTAACTCAAATAACAAATCTGAGGTATGCAGAAGAGCATCTCTGAACACACAACACGTCCAACCTTGAGGTGGATGGAGTACCACAGTAGAAGACCACACCAGATGCCACTCTTGTCAGCTAAGAACAGGAAACTGAGGCTACAATTTGCACAGGCTCACCAAAATTGGACAATAGAAGATTGGAAAAACGTTGCCTGGTCTGATAGTCTTGATTTTTGCTGCAACATTTGATGGTAGGGTCAGAATTTGGGGTCAATACCATGCTCTTTGATTGCTATTTTTGGTGTAACCTTTAAATAAGAATGCTAATGTTCTAGCCTTTGCGTCACTGATAGCCCGGAGATGGATTTTTTTTTACACTGGAAGTCTTCTAAACTCCAACTGTCTCATGGTTTGAAGATTTGATGCCTTTTCTATATATTAAAAAAACTTAAGTTCACATTAAGAGGTTCCACTGAAATATTTTATAAAAACTGGGATCCTCCAATTAATTTTGTCCGGAATTCAACATCTCTTCGCTGATTTATAAAAACAATAAATTTTTTCCCCCAAGAAAGATCTCTGCCCTTTTTATTAATGTCTCCGTGTATTAATGATATTTTATGTATATTTATTTAGTTGCTTTGACATTTCTTGTAGATGCTAATGTTGTTGTTGTGTGTACTTTTCTTTTAGTTCTCCTCCTTGGGGGTGGGATGGGGAACTGAGGGTTTTTGAATGTTCTTGTTTACCCTTAGTTATTGTTAAAAAAATTTGTAAATTATTGATATTGTGGTATTTTTGTTTTGTAGACCCCACAAAAACAATAAAATAAAATAAATAAATAAATGAATAAAATTTGGAGTCAACAAGATGAAAGCATAGATCCATTCGGCCTTTTATCAACGGTCCAACCTGGTGCTAGTACAGTGTACCTGATAAAGTAGCTGGTGAATATATATGTAAATATATATATATATATATAAAGTATTTACCAAACCTTGTTAATGAAGGCTAGCAACAGACTGCAGTAGTGAACTAAAAAACTGTAATGAAAAGAAAGGGAAGAATCGTTGTAACATGGCCAGGTATGTTGACCCATACTTGGAATTTGTGCTCTACATTTAACCATCCAAGTGCACACACACACAGCAGTGAACACACTTTTAATATCTTTTAATTATACTTTCTTGTTTTCTTAAGCAACAACACTCTGCAATCGTGCATGTCATTAAATATATTTACTCAATTTTAAATTGTACTCTATATGTGCATTTATTGAAATCTCACAATTGCAAGTGTATAAAATTAACATGTGCACAAATGCAAAGTGTTCTCAAACATCCACCATCATCAGTTTTCTTTAACAATGATTATTGCGACCATTAATAGACCAATTATTAGGGTTAACATTATGGCCATATATTTTGATATGAGCCTTTCAGTCGTATCATCGTTATTTGGAGGTGGACGAGAGAAAAAATCTGCTGCTCCGCCAAACGCAGCACCCACTGCACCACCCACTGATGCCACTGCAGCGGTCGCTCCTGCAGACAGTCCAGCAGCACCTGATCAGCAGAAACACCAGAAAAAAAAAATTCTGTAAAACGCTCTGGAAGAATTTGGAAATGGAATTGGGGCTGAGATCACAAATGATAAACAGCATGATTGGTATAGTACTTTTATATGTCCTGGAATAATTGATACCAGGCCATTACATTAATAATGGACACCCAGTGTAGGGATGCACCCATCATATAAAGTGGAGCATGCAAGTACAGATAATAATGAAGTCTAATAATTCAACAGACAAAGTAAATTATTCAGCTAATAAAACATTTACTCTTAAATGGGTACCACATCTAAAGACACTGTTCAGGGGTTCCATTTCAAAACATTCATCAGGTTTTTGTCTTCAAACTTGTCACTTTTGTCACTCCTGTGTGTGGAACTAGTGTCATCCAAAGCCTTATGTTTTGATGTGGTTTTTGACTGTTGCAGGCTGTGAAGTAATCCCAGATTTACAGTGGATTTGTGTGCAGAGGAGCTCGACGAGGTTGCGTTCTGTCCTGTGTCCGGTGCCAACACACACCGTTTCAGAAATGAAGCCACAGGAGTCAGGAAATGATGTGATATGGCAGTATGACGTATTTGCTTACTCATTTTCATGATTTTTTGATGCCAAGCAGGAAATTAAACTCACCTCAGTGCTATATGTCAGCACACTTTACCACAAGGTTATTGTCGCTGAACTAAATGAATAATGTTTCTTGTTATGTCCTATTTTGCTGTCCTATAGTTAAAGTTTTTTTTTTAAATAGAAGATAAAATAAAATATGTTTAGTCATTTAAAAAACATCCTAAACTTCATGTATATTGAATATAATCTAATCTATCTTGAGTCCAATGTTTATAGTTGGTGTAAACACGGTCATTGACTGGAGTGGTCACGATCCGTGACATGCCACACACGTGTGCAATACTGTCAAGATCTGCATGGAACTTTAGCTTAGTGCTGCACAATTAATTGAAAAAAAGATTGTGATCTCGATTCGACCCTCTAGACCAGGGGTGGCCAGCCTTGTTCCTGGAGAGCCACTTTCCTGCAGATGTCAGTTGCAACCCATAAAAATACCCTTAAATATAAACTTTCAGTACCGCTTCATTGAACTTGAACAAGTAAATTAAAATCCACTATTTTCACTAGTTGTATTAGTATTTTTTTATTTATCAAAGTGTGCTTTAAATGCTTTAAAAATAAGTTCTTTGTGGGATAAAAAATATATGTACTGTATATCATTTATTTAAAAAATGCGGGCAATACATTATAGATTAATTTTATTTAAAAATATTATATCAATCTTATTTTTTAATTCAACTTTAGGGGTGCGACTAGGTAGGGGGCCTACAAGACATTGTGCCCAGGGGCCTCTGAATTCTAAATCCCGGCCTGCTTGTGGTGGAGAAAAATCAAGTTTTATTTGCTTTGACGTCTCCTCCTTTGGTAGCAGAGCTCACGTAATCAACTGCGTAGCTACCATAGTAGCCACTAATTTTATGGCGGCATATGAATATTAGATTAGAACTACTTGTCACCAACGCAGAGAGATATTTTTCCTGGACATAAGTTGCAGGATACATAAACATTCTTACCTTTCACTATGGAAAAGTAGAGTTTATATTTCCAGTTCGCAAACGCTACCTGTGAACTTCTGACTTCTGGTCATTTATATTGCATCCAAAACTACACTGAAAACGTGATGCCTGCTTCTTTCTTTGCCGATTTAAATGCATTTTGTGCTCGCTATCTTCTGCTGTTTGTCATTGTTATGGCCACCATCAGCTGTTTCTACATACACTCGCAGCACATTCAATTTTCAAAGTAGTTAAATTTTGTGTTGATTAATACTGAATGTGTCTCGTTGTTATTACTTAGGGTTAGGGGTAGGAATACAGTATATGCTGGTGTTTAACTGCATTGCTTTAATGCACTCCCGCATTGGGCTCACACATATACTCTGTGCTACTTCATGACCATGGCGTTTCTCTCGGGCTCACGCTGAACGCAGTCAACCAATAACAACAGACTGGTCATCGGACCAATCACCACAGAATAGCATCACGCAAAGGAGGAGTTTGGGAACAAATGAATCACTGAACAAATCATATGGGAGTCGTTGGGATAATTAGGTACAAATAAATGCTTATTATAAGACAATGAAAGGGTTTTTTGACCTTGCATGCATATCAGCCTGTTGTTGGAGACCCCCAAAACCAAAATATGACATTTTTAATGCCTAATAGGGGCTCTCTCTTTAATGACCTCCCCTAAGTGCAATGTATTCTGCCTTCTGCCTGACATCCAGACATGATCAAATTTTTCAATTCTTATGATTTTCTCTCTTATGCTTTTTTCCTATTCCATTGTTTTTTTTTTGTTTTTTGTTTTTGCAATGTGTAATTGATGCTATATTTGTATATTTGAGAATAAGGAAGAAACTGACAAACAACAATACAAAAAGTTGACCGTAGGCATACTACCAAATTAGTTAAAATGTTCTTTAAGGACAACAGAGTGAATGTTTTGGAGTGGCCATCACAAAGCCCTGATCACAGCCTTATAGAATATTTGTGGGCAGAGTTGAAAAAGCTTGTGCGAGCAAGACAGCCTACAAATCTGTTTCGTTACACTAATTCTGTCAGGAGGAATAGGCCAAATTTCCTTCAAACTATTGTGACATGCTGTAATATGTAATGCTAAAATAATCATAATAGTTTTTATTATTAAGGCATTGACCTGTATTTACCTGCTGACTGAAGGAGGGCGACCAAGCTTCCTGCTGCCACACCGCCTCCATTAGCAATGGCTGCTGAAGACATCATGCTGGCGCCCAGTGAACCTGCTGCTATACCAGCAGAGGTGAACCCAGCCATGGTCAGCGCCACCGGAGCTAACACAGCTGTACCAACTAGAGGACAAAAAAAAAAACAATCAAATACATGCTTTCATCTGAAGAAACAATCCTCAGAACATCTACACCTGCTGTAACGGCTTGATCTATGTGGCTATTTGCACTACAATAACACATTTTCTGCAAATATGATATATTCTATATGTACAAAATAGTATTTTATATGCAGCAAGCCTATTTAGATGCTATTTATCCTAAATGAAAATAGTAGCAGACATTTGGAATGAAAACACACTCGGTTTACCTGCTCCAGCAGCAACCCCAAGCACAGTGAACAGTCCTGAAAAATAAATAAATAAAACTCATTAAATCTAAAGTTTGTTTAAAAAATCTGTTTGATTTTTGTCTCTGTAAGTGCTATTAAAAATTAAGATGCCAGGAAGAATAAAAAGGGATTCTCACAACAGTTTTGGCTCCATAAAGAATATTTTAGTGAAAAGTTCAACAAATAGTGTGAAGAATCATTTCGTAATCTAAACTGCATTTTGCTTAAATTAATTTAGATAATTATTAGGACAAATGTTAAATAAAACTTTATCAGTAAAAGTAGTTAAAATATGAGTATTCTTAAATAATATTAAGACATTTATATTTTTATATAAAAAAATCATAATTCTTTAACCTCTGTAAAAAAATTTTTTTTTTACATTTTACATACACACTAACCTATCTAAATAAATACACACATACCATTTTGTGATTGAAATGACATAGGCTATAACACTGAATAATCCACATTAATAAAAAAGCAAACGTGTACCCACCGGGCTTCATGACTCAGCAGGTCTTTTTCCACAGAGAGAGAACGCCAATTAATGAACAAGTAGTTGCTCCGTTTTAATCTTTTACTGCAGTTGCACACTGCACAACATTGACGTAATGAAATTGAAACTGCTTCCTGGAAAGCACGTGTGCATTCATATTTTTATAGTGTGCATAGGGAGGACCCTTAAGAAATGTAACATGGCATTTCGTGATATTGCTATAGTTTCTGACCGTGCGTACATTAGACACAATGTTTTGAATAGTCACCTAAGACCTTGACATCGCAGTCTGAAAAAAATGACAACATATGTGAAGAGCTGAGGAATGTAGCCTACGTGTAGATGGAATAAAAAATAAAATAATAGACTAGGCTGCAGCCTACATATAATAAATTCCTTCCACGCGCGCTAAAGGCTGTGCACAACATAGGGAAAATTTTACAAGACCACTTGAAAATGATACGTTTTTCTGGATTTATTAAGTATGGATTTTAATAAAATGCTAATATTTGTAATCTATAAATAAAGCTTTTTCCCCAAAATTTAAATGTGGGAACATGGCACCTATTGCGGCATTTTAAGCAAAAAAGAATCTCAGTATATACAGGTTGTTCAATTAATTAGGCCTAAATTATTCATTCACTAAAATTTCCTTCGGCTTAGTCCCTTTTTTCATCAGGGGTCGCCACAGCGGAATGAACTGCCTACTTATCCAGCATGTTTTACGCAGCGGATGCCCTTCCAGCTGCAACCCAGTGCCTGGAAAGGTCCATACACACTCATTCACATACATACACTATGGCCAATTTAGTTGATTCAATTCACCTATACCGTATGTCCTTGGACTGTGGGGGAAACCGGAGCACCTGGAAACCCACGCCCACACGAGGAGAACAAGCAAACTCCACACAAAAATGCCAATTGACCCAGCTGGGGCCCGAACCAGTGACCTTCTTGCTGTAATGCTAACCTCTGAGCCACCGTGTCACCCTGGCCTAAATTATATTTGAGCCATTTATTGGAAACTCATCAATGTTGGAAATGAGAGCTCAATGCACTCAAAACTGGGTTATTAATACATTTTTAGTAGTACCATGAACAATAATAACTGAACCTAATGTGACTTGTGGGCCTATATGAAGAGTTTGACGCAAAAACCTCTATTTGAGTCTAAATGTTCTAACAATACATTGAGAAATATTTTTATATTTCTTATAATTAAATATTTACGACAGCATCTTAATTTTTTTCATTTTCCCACATTGTATTATGATTACTAAAATAGACAGGCTTTAGATCTGGATGCAGAATTGGTGCAGTTGCAAGGTGAGCTGCATGCAATGCTTTTAAAGTGCACATCTAACCCCACAGTGACATCACTAGCTTCAATAAGTTCATTATGTCTGATATTGCAAGTCAGAGAAATGCAGTCTCAGCTTGCAAATCCAAATCTTTATCTAGATACTATTGGAGACCATTCTTATTTACAAGTCTAAAATAGTTAAGTAGTTTTTCTCAGGAATTGTAATTTACTAAGTAGTTTTATAAATGATTACTTTTACTTTCCCTGGAGTACATTTTTAGTGTTGTATTTGTACTATACTCCACTACTGGCCTTCAACTTGCAGTCACTACTTTATTTTCTCGTCTATGAGTATAATTGCAGCAAACTGTTTGAAAGCATTAAGTGTCCCAATAAGATGTCCAAAATCTTTACAATCATTGACCCAGAGACTGTTTAGATGCATGTCACTGATGAAAAGATGAAGAATGTTTACTGGATGGTGACTGAAATGGATTTAAACACCCAGCAGGCATAAGACGTCAACATGGTGTCAGATTGAAGTTGTTCTCCATCATCGTGGTGACGTTACATTTTGTTTGGAAATCAAAATTGGGTTGATGTCAGAACTCAACGTCAGGGTGATGTCATTGTCCAATGGTAAACCTAAAATCAACCTCTAATAATGTTACAGCTTGACATCATGTGGATATTACCACCATGACATCTATGAGATATTGGATTTTGGTTGACATACCTGATGAATAGATGTCAGTATTTAACGTAAATATGATGTTGATTTAAGTCACACAGGTGTCAAAGCCAGTTCCTGGAGGGCCGCAGCCCTGCACAGTTAAGTTCCAACGCTGCTTCAACACACTTACCTGTAGGTTTCAAACAAGCGTGAAGTACTCAAATAGTTTGATCAGGTGTTTTTAATCAGGGTTGGAACTAAACTGTGCAGAGCTTCGGCCCTCCAGGAACTGGGTTTGACACCTGTGGTTTAAGATGTTGGCTCGACGTTGGATTTTGGCCACTTTCTAACACAACCTAAAATTAACCAAATATTAACGTCATTATTGGACATCAAAATAACATTGTCCTTAGACGCTGGTTAGACACTGAATTTTGGTCACCTGACATCACAGCCTAAATCTAACGCCTTCTGATGTTGTGTGCCTGCTGGGCAATAACTAAATGCACTACAGAATGTTACGTGTACACACATCCACAAATTACTTGTAAATAAATCAGCTTTATACTCACTACTCGAGTACTTTTGAAAGGTTTACTTTACTCATACTTGAGTACTATTTACAACAGATATTTTTACTCTTTTTGCACTACATTATCAGTCAAGTAATGATACTTTAACTTAAGTATGATTTTTCAGTACTTTTTCTGCCACTGATTATTCAATACAGTAGGAAAACAACATTTTTCTTCGTTTTTTCTTCAGAATTTTATTAAATATTAAATGTAAATCACGCTACATTGAGTTGCTCGCCCGCCATTGCGCATCATGCGCAATGCAAATTAAAATAGAACATTGCACTTTTACATACTGCATTGTTGTTTTGCATTTACATTTTCAAAATGAATTGACTGCATACCTACTGATATGCTTCCATACATAGTTCTCATGAGGAAACATAATAAACTTCTAGAAAAGGCAAATTAGTTTGAATTTATAAAATTTCATTCAAAACGTCTGATTTTTAACAAGGAGGTGTGTCCACAAACCCCACCCAAAAACCAAACAGTTATTGAGGGAGATGAGGAGACCATGTAGAAATAAGATCATACAACATTCATCAGACAATTAGCCACAAATCAATTTAGTTACAAATAGCTGTGAGATTGTGTTGAACTGTCTGTGGACTGTGAGCATTTAAGAGCAGAAACGCTGTAGGCTTGAGTGCATTTCTCATTTCTTCAACCTCTTCAACAAATGAACAGCTCCACCTAATAGCCCCCCTGCAGCACCACCTACAGATGCCACACCAGCTGTTGCTGCTGAGGACAAACCAGCAGCACCTGAAAATAAAAACAAAAAGCCTGATGGCACCATTATCTGAATGCATAGCAGGTCAACCCAGCACAGTGAAGTTATAAAATAATAAATGTTAAAATACATAAACAATTCATGTGCATTAACCAAGTAGCCTATATAAAAAAAGGAATTAATAAATTGACAGTAATTACCTGCTGACTGGAGGAGAGCGACTACACTTCCAGCAGCCACACCACCACCATTAGCGATGGCCGCTGTGGACATCATACCAGCTGCCATAGAACCCGCTGTGATGCCAGCAACAGAAAACCCGACCATGCCGAGCGCCAGCGGGGTCAAAGCAACGGCACCAGCTGTTTAATATGGAAAAAAAAAAGATAAATAATAATTATAGATCGACACATACACTATAATATCAGAAAAGTTCATGTTACTTCAAACATTTGAGTTAGTATAATTGAATTTGATTTTGTACTATGATTGCTTACTAAAAATAAAGCACTTCAATAAAGTTAAGTTACTTTATTTCTATAAAACCGCTTCAAGGATACACAGGCAAATGATCAAAAGTCGTAACACTGACTGTTCTAAATACAGTATGCAGTTCTAAACTAATTTAGTAAGGTTTATGAATGCCTGTGGAAAACTGATTTACTGTAGGGGAGTTCCACTGAATAATATAGATCTGATTCTTCAAAAAACTAAGATAAGGAAGTAAGGCTAAACGGGCTATTTATAGTAAGTTATAATAATCTGATTGGTTTAATGATTACAGATGAGACCAGCCGCGATCACTCAGATCACGTGTTTCTCTCGAAATTTGTTTGTCAAACTTCACTTAGCAATGGCAATATAATCTAGTTCATGTAGGTTATTGCTAATAAATAACTTTTTTTAAAAATATTTGAGTGAAATAAACATTTTATTTCACGGTTTGGTTTTACAGTTAGACAGTTTGATTTAAATGACTGAATTAACAGACATTTTCTCTGTGGTAACCCTGGTCTAACTGAGCTAGATGATCTGGTTACTTACCAGCTCCAGCTGCAATCCCAATAATGGTAGATACTGCAAATAAACATAACATATTGAGAAACAAATTACAAAGACATAAAATACATCTTTGATATTATTTTGTCAGGGAAAGGTGCAAGTATTTGCATTTTATTTTTTAAATATTTACATTTTTGGTGTACAGTTATTGAATAAACATGGAACAAAATTATATGCATCTTACACGAGTCCATGCTATTATATTCAACAGTTAAGGAGGGAAATAAGTACCTCAAACCACACATTAACACACAGATTGAATTATTGTAATAAACAAGTCACTGTGAGATCATCCATTTGATAAACAATAAAAAAAAGATAACAAAACCTTCTGAATTGCATAATGTAGCAAACGAGTGTTACACTTTCTATACTAACCTAAATTTCTGCTTCACAGTTTAAGTTGTTACAACATTACCTAAGAGTATGTATGTAATGTTGGCAGCTAGCTCTCTGCAACTCACATGGTCAACCACTGAAGTTATGCAGGGCTGCGCCAGGTCAGTACCTGGATGAAAGACCACATGGGAAAGCTAGGTTGCTGCTGAAAGTGGTGTTAGTGAGGTCTGCAGGTAGTGCTCAACCTGCAGTCTGTGTGGGTCCTAATGCCCCAGTAAAGCGAATGGGACACTATACTGCTCAGTGAGCAGTCTTTCGGATGAGGTCCTGACTCTGTGGTCGTTAAAAATCCCAGGATGTCTTTCGAAAAAGAGAAGGGGTTTAACCCTGGAATCCTAGCCAAATTTGCTCGCTGGTCTGTGTCATTCATGGCCTCTTAACCCTCCCCTTATTATATTGGCATAATTCAATCATAAATCTCATATCCACCAATCAGCTGGTGTGTTTTGTGCGGGCTGGGCAAATATGGCTGCCCTCGTGTCATCCAAGTGGATGCTGCACACTTGTGGTGGATGAGGAGAATCCCCCGATGTGTAAAGTGCTTTGAGTGTCCATAAAAGTGCTATATAAAAATGAATGAATATGAATAATTAATTATTATACGTTGAAAATGTCCTTTTGATTGTATCATTAAAATATAGCACTTCTGTGGCTAATAAAACAAGGTTAACAAATAGTTACAATTATTTATGGAAACAGACAGAAACATACAGTAAACTACTTGTGTAACAAACACCTCACAGCATGAGAACTTGCACTGCCTGATCTGGGAAAAAAAGGAATGAAGGGTGCGATCCTAGGTGTGACTGACACACTATGCGAGTCACCTGATTGTCATCAGGGTAACGTAAGGTCTTAAAGTAAAGCATGAACACATTTTTTTTGATTACAGGATTTTAAATTACAGGCGGTTAATTCTGCTGCAATCCCTGAAGAAAAAATGAATGTGGAAAAAGTGTGGGGGAAGAATTTATGATATTCATGAAATTATGTAGAAAAAATGTTTTCAACACCTATATCAAAGCGTTGGAAGGTCTTAAAATGTTCTCAAAAATTAGGTCCTAAAAAAAAATAAACAATCCGAATAAAGTCCAAAATGTATAAAGTAATTATGTTACATGCACAGCAAAATATCAAAGAATGTCATCATGTCATGTCATTTTCCAACATAAATATATTCATCACATCATGATGCATTTATGCTAACTGAATATGGAGGTTTTGTCTTAGAAAACTGAACAAAGAGACTTTTAAAACAAGAATGGAACACATGCTAATAGAAATATTAGCAAATATTGTCAATAGAAAACATGTTGTTAGGCTATTCTGCATTATGTTGACCTTTATTGGGAATCATTTATTCATGGTTTTATCATAAATGTAGCTTAAAGGGATGTTTCACCCAAAATGAAAATTCTGTCATCATTTACTCACTCTTTATTTGTTTACAAAAGACACAAAACACCACAAGAGAAAAAGTACACTGAAAATTGTTGGAAACCAGTAACCACTGAATTCCATATTAGTTTTAGGTTTTCAGCATTCTTCAAAATATCTTATATTGTGTCAAACAGAATAAACTCAAACAATGAGTAAATGACCGAATGTTCAATAAATATCTCTTTAAATTTAAAGATATAATTCGCATTAAAAAGGTTTGTTTTATGTCAGCTGAATTTGACAAAACAATAAGGACGAAAATGAAGGTACAGGAAAAAAATGTTCAGGAGCAGAACTACTCAAAATAAGGGATGAGTTTTGTAAAATGAAATAAACAAAACAAACGAAGATCTTTGTGTTTTATATGACAATTTAAAGCAGTATTAAAATGCATTTTAGAGACAATATTAAAGTGCTCCGTTCAAATTGTTCCTTAAACTTTGTTTTCATGAAACTTCCAGCAACCTCGTAAAAAAATATCAGGCACTTACCTTTCGGCATACTTTCGAGGAGTTGAACTCACAAAACGAAACTTACATGCAGGCCGTTTCCTGAGAATCGAGGATGACTCATGTTGATGTCAAATGATTATTCCCTGTAAGTGCACATTTACTCCACTAGCTGGCGCTTTGCGGATCAGGAACCCGAATTTCATTTGAAATGCATTTAATCTTAGGATGTTCATTCTTCAATGTATACGCTTTTAAAATTAATTAAATCCAGAATTTTGTATGAATAAAAGTAGGAAGCAAAGAAAAGCTTAAAGCAACTTTTGATGATTTACTGATTATATAGCCGACTGTGCTGAGAAAGAAACTGCTTAAAAGTAATATCCATCATGTGATGTGATAATAGATTTTTTTGTATACCCAAGTAGAGAAGTAGGTTACATGTAAATTCATTATTTAGACAATATTAACATTCTAATTGTTATTTTTGAATCAAAAATTGAAGTAAGATTTGCAGAATAAAATTAAAATACATATTTAAGTAAATTGCAGAAAAATAAGAAAATAAAGTTCTGCTGGGTAATGGGAAAATGACAATAAATTAGTCGCATCCTTAGACATTTTAAAGAAATTTGTAAGGATAGATCAACACTTCACAATATTTCACTTTCTAATCTGTTTTCTATTAAGTTTTTTAATTCAAATAATCTCATCTATTTTTAATATATAAATAAATATAGAAATAAAAGTAAATAAATAAATTACTGGTCCTCTAATTGTCCATTTGATAAATATTAATAAAATGTATAAAGTATATACAATTTATAAAATATAAATATAACATTGATAAAGATATCCATCCATCTATCTATCTATCTATCTATCTATCTATCTATCTATCTATCTATCTATCTATCTATCTATCTATCTATCTATCTATCTATCAAAAAATAATAGAAAAGGTATAGTTAGTGTGCGTAGTATACAGTAGTCAACATTTCAAGTGGATCAAAAAAGGTTTCGAAATTGTCCAAAGGCAAGAATGGATGTGGTGTAATAGTTTTAGGATGACTTTGATAAAATGTTTTAATTCACTTCAAATGTTGGCTACTGTACTTCGGATTCACACTTTATCTTACAATGTACATTTATTTGTTAACAGTTATGGTTAATTCATTCACCCTCCACTTGTTTTTAAACTTTAAGAGTTTATTATTGTTTCTATTGAACACAAAAGACTTCTGCTCCTAAATGAGTACATGTATTCATTTTCCTCTCCACCAATTAACAGCTCCACCTAAAAGCCCTCCTGCAGCGCCACCTACAGATGCCACACCAGCTGTTGCTGCGGAGGATAAACCAGCAGCACCTGAAAGCAAGAGCACAAAAAGCTTAATTCCCGAATGCATTACTGTACAAGACAGCACAGTAAAGTTTGTTCATGTTTCTTATAATACAAAATCATTCTTTGTGTATATTAATCTGGTACTATCACTGCCTTACTCTGGTTATAAGCTAATTGCTGTGAATAGTATAGTAGTAAATACCTGCTGACTGGAGGAGAGCGACTACACTTCCAGCAGCCACACCACCTCCATTAGCTACAGCTGCTGTGGACATCATACCAGCTGCCGTAGAACCTGCTGTGATGCCAGCAGCGGTGAACCCGGCCATACTGAGGGCCAGCGGGGTCAATGCAACGGCACCAACTTTTACAACAATTACAAACAGACAGAGCAAAACATTTCTGTGAATTTCAGTTTTTGAAGTGAGCTAGATCAGTGGTTCTCAAACTGTGGTACGTGTACCACTAGTGGTACACAGGCTTCCTTCTAGTGGTACGCGGAGGAATGAAATATGTCATGCACATGCTACACACATTTCAAAATTTATTAAAAATTATGTATATAATATGTCATATATGACATATAGCCTATATTTATGATGTAATCTGCCACATTTTTTAACTGTGCAGAGTTGTAGCTGCTTTACTGGGCCTAATGCGCTACTGTATTTTAATACTACTCATTTTGGTGGTACTTCGAGAGACAATTTTTTTTCTGAGGTGGTACTTGATGAAAAATGTTTGAGAACCACTGAGCTAGATGATATCCTGGATGTATTTACTTACCAGCTCCAGCTGTAGCTCCAATAATGGTTTTGGTGGATAAAGCTGCAAATACAAATGATAGAACATACAAAGAGTCAAAAAAATCATTTGTTGCTTTAACAGTTATTAAGGGTCTTAAAAGTTTACAAAAATTTGTGCTCTCAAATAAATTATAAAAAAAAGTACTGAATTTGAACAAAAATGTACAACAGAATCTATAATGAAAATAAATAGTCAGTCATTTGGCTGAGCCTATTCAAAATTATATTTATTTATGTTTTAAATCAAACTCGCAAAAAAAAAAAAAAAAATGTTAGGGTCATGTTTGTTTTTCGATGTAAATGTTATAACCCGTACAGGTCACTGTAAATTAAGAAATCCAGTTCTATTTATAAGAATAAATAGACAGGCCTGTATCCAGGGGGGGTTCGGGTGGTTCAAGAGACCCACCCCCCTACTGACAAAGTCCAGAATTTGGCCTGAAATTAGTTAATTTGTCCCATTTTTGAAAGTTATGGCATCGTAAATTGTGAAAATAACAGATAAAAGAAGGTTTTAAGACAAATTTATCTATTAATTATTATTGCAATGGACAAATTCTGACTGAGTAAATGAGCTGGCTAGTTTGTTACTTGCCTATAGGCTACAGTTTTTAATTTAAAACAAGTTAACAGATTCCTATTTTTTATGATGGATAATAGCATTTTAAAAAGTGTTTTCATATTTCTTTGTTAAAAAAGTCAATTAAAATGAAAATTATTACATTTACAGTTGAAGTCAGAATTATTAGAGCCCCCGTTTATTTTTGTTGCCCAATTTCGGTTTAACCGGGAGAAAAATTTTTTCAGCACATTTCTAATCATAAGTTTTAATAACTCATTTCTAATAACTGATTTATTTTATCTTTGCCATAATGACAGTAAATAATATTTTACTAGATATTTTTCAAGACACTTCTATACAGCTTAAAGTGGGATTTAAAAGCTTAACTAGGCCATTTAGGCTACCTAGGCAGGATAGAGTAATTAGGCAAGTTATTGTATAACTTTTTCTGTAGACTATCGAAAATAAAATTAGTTTAAAAGGGCTAATAATTGACCTTAAAATGTTTTTTATTCTAGTCGAAATAACAAATAAGACTTTCAAACAAGAATTTGGGAAATATTTTAAAAAGGAAAAAAATCCAAAGGGGGGCTAATAATTCTGACTTCAACTGTATAAAACTGCAATAACGTAATGCCCATTTGTAAATAAACATAATTTCTTGTAAACATAAAATAGTATGGTAAGCACTTCGACAAAAATGTAGGAAATCATTTTGTTGCATCAAAAAGTGTAATAATGATAACCATCCAACAAGCTAAATTTAGTGCTTAAAAATGTCACAGAAATGCAGTATTTGAACCTCATAATGTAATAGAAAATAAGGCGCATGACTGCAAAAAGGTCCACAAATTTTTATAGGTTGGCTATACAGACATGTAAATTAAAAAGATAGTTAACCCATTACTAAAAATCTGGTCATCCTTTACCTTCATTTCCAAATATTTTGCTTTTTACAGCATAACACTCACTCTTGAGTACTTTTAAAAGCGGTACTTTTTACCCATACGTTTAGTATTTACAACAGATACTTTCTCACACTACATTTTTGGGCAAATAATGGTACTTTTACTTGAGTATGATTTTTCAGTAGCCTACTCTTTCCACCACTGCACAAATATATATATATATATATATATATATATATATATATATATATATATATATATATATATATATATATTTTTTTTTTTTTTTTTTAATAAGCTAAACACTAATGTATTGCCATTGTGTTTGTTTTTCCAACTATGTCAATGGATGATTACAGAACAGGTTTAACTTTCTTCAAAATATCTTCAGACTTGGGAAGAAGGGTGCATTTCTCTTTTTGAGAGAGAACAATCCCTTTTAGTTTCGTGACTGTCACAAACTGCCGTGAAACTGATAATTATGTTGTTCAACAAAACCTTTATTTTCTAAGTAAGTCTAAAATGGTTCGTCATAAAACATGCAGAAACCCTGCTTAAAGAAAACCGGTCACTTACTTGGCAGCGTCGGCATCGTCTTGCTGTCGAAGAAACGTGCGAAATGAAATGTAAACCGTTCTTGACACTCTAACGTTAGCTGATATTGGCAAATACTCCTTTACAGCCGACAGACTACTCGGCTGCCATACTGTTTTAGCGTACTATAAACTATGGAAGAACAGACTAGTGAGGGCACACCGCCCTCTGCCGACAGACATTGCACGTCACGAGTTGTTTGCTGGCTCATAGGGTCAACAGGAAGTACTACTTGTGTCCCACCGCAGTTCTCGGCGGAAAAGGCAGTGGCAACTTGACGACAACGGCAACCCATATGGCGTCCAGACACCGTAAGCGATAATACAAGCACTTCTTCAATTATGCGCTGGCTCTTCGATCACAGTCACAATCGCGGTGAGTGTTTAATCAGCATCTCTCGCGGAGTGGGCGTGCACGCTCAATGTTTGAGGCCTTCCTGCGGGTGCACGCGACGCAACTCCAGTCCAGAACCGAGACGAGTTGTGCAGAGACCGCGTTGAATATGGCGCTAACTTTACATGCATCATTTGAGGAACAGCGTTGAAAGTATGCTTTTAAAATAAAACTGAGTTCAACGTGTTTAATGCTGTGCGCGCGCGTGATAGACACGCAGAGTTGTTGCTAAAGGCCCCCTGGTGCTCGCGGAAGCGTTTAGATGTTTGCTTGTTTATTTTGCGAGGTTTTTAAAACATCGGGTGTTACTGTAACAATAAATGCAGCCCTTTGCAAATGATTAAGCCGTTTTAAGGTGTCTAGAAAGGGTCAGATGTTATGCTAGGCGCCCAGGGCCTAATTTGTTAGCTGTTTGAGCACGTGAACTGATCTGGAGTCAAAATAAAAACACCAATAGCCTGAAAAGATTTTAATTAAAGGCATGAGACAAATGTGAGAGGATGTGACGTTATATGAAGCGCTTGTATTCCTTTATGAACTTTTACAGTTAGACACCTGATGCTAATGCCATTTTAGCGGTTGTAATTCTTATGACAGCAGTTGTGAAGCTGATTGTTTGTAAACGTACGTTACCGGGTGCGTAGCGCTAGTGTTTACACTTAAGCAGTTCTCTCAGGATAAAGTAATGTTTTAATTTCAAAGATATTCAACTCTTGGTTAGGCATAGGATTTAAAATTGAGTTCTACACAAACCTTTGATGGTTCTAAACTGTATTTAAATTAAAGTGGTACTGTAAACAATTGTTAAAGTAATCAAACATTCGTGCAGATGAACTTTGGACTTCAAATCTAACATGGGAAGCTGCTGAGATACACATCCTGAAACTCCTAAACTGATGCATGATTTTCAGTGCCTCTAAAGAAATGTACTTTAACGTGTAATTCAATAAAATAGGCAAAATTGTGTTTGTCGTCAGAAAGCGTTAAGGGTAGTTTACCCAAAAATCCACTTGCTCTAAACCTGCAGGAGTTTCTTTCCTCTGAAGAATTTCAAAGATAATAAACTTAAGATCTGATATTGGTCCCACTGACTTCCACTGTATTTGTCCCCCACCATAGAACTTAATGGGGACCATTTAAATTTGTCATAGTACACTTTAAGTGAACTGCACTGATGATTGTACATTTAAGTCATGTCGGATAAACTGTATTTATAAGTTGAAAACATGTCAACACCACCACGGTCATTTTTATGAGTGGGGAACTCAATTTCCTTTAGTTTCTGAGTTGGTGGCATGTCAGAGTGAAACATGGCAGAATCACTGATCTATAATAGAGAATTACATACAAAATATCTATAGCTTATTACATATAGATCAGCAAGCAGAATTCATGGATGCAAATTCAATTTGTGTTTATTAGTGACAAATCACAATTGATGCTAATTGATGCTCTCCATTTTCTAGAGTTAACAAACCCTGCTTTATTTTCTCGTAATTCAATCTAAAGTATGTACAATGCCATCTTGTACTGACAAAAATGACTTGAACACACTTGATGTCATTATAGAGTATATGCAGAAAGACTTAATTTTACAGTAATGTGGGTCAAGTGCTTCCGGTTAACTGTATGCGGTTACAAAATTGGAACAGTTTCTACTGCCTAATTGATATACCATATAAACTGGGTCTCAGATTATACAAGAAGCTCTTCATTAAAATTACATTTTCCGTGCCATGTCTCTTTAAAGTATGAACTTTTCACTCCAGTATTTTTATTGGCGTTTCTTCAATCGTCTGCTGATTCTGACGGGCGCGTGCATGTAAATGGCTTTTCATCTCTGTTTACAACATCTAAATGAACGCTGAAGTCCATTTAACTGATTATGTTTTAATTACATTACTACATAGATGCTGTAAATGGAACCGTATAAAATTGAAAAAAAGTCTCTGGAAGTTTATCAGCATGGGAAGAAACATTAGCTGTGCATTAAGACTTGTCAACTTGTAAGTAGGAATGCCCCAGGAGGACTGAACAAAGCATAAACGTTTGTGTATTTAATGTCATAAGTCTAGCGTATATCACCGAAGTCAAACCACATGAAGATGTCTAATAGTTACAAATGTAACATACCTTTTTTTTCTTTTTTTTTTACCCCTGCAGAGCGAACCACACAGTGCAGGTATTCATGGATATAGTTGGTGGTTCATTCAATCATCTGGTTCCCAGCGACCAGTTGGATGATTCCTTACTGCTCGGACAAAACCTAGAATGTGAAGCAAGTGATGAGTTTGAAGCAAAACCTGAAGATTCACTGAAAAACATGCTCAGTGATAAAGATCCCATGTTTGGATCTGCCAGTACCCAGTTTCACCTTTTAGAAAATGAAGATTTCAAGCTTGGAAGTTCAGCTGGTATAGTGATTGCTTTTGATATCACTTTGTGTTTTATTTCCGAATAAAGATTCTGGTTAACTCAATTGACCATGTTTTGCAGATGCCGATCATGAAATGACAGGAGCAGGTGTTAGGCAGAGTCCATCCGATGGAGAACACAATCAATCTGGCTTCTTGCAAGACAGGAGACAAGCAGGTCAAATGCAGAGGAGGCAAACAGGTGCGTGTAATATGAGGGAAATAAAGGGACACAGGTGGCTGAATTAATTTAGATTGCTTTGAATCTGCTGAAGCTAATTAGTTGTGCAACTTTACATTGACTTTTGTTAAAAGCCCATTTTAAAAACCACAGCAAGTGTTCAAAATCATGTATTTTATATGCATACACATGACATTAAATACAAATAAAGAAACTTAAACATACATATTTTGACCTGTAATTGAAATATATAAAAGTATAAATGATCTCAATACATTTTAGTGTTTAGCATATAAACTTCTTGCTGTCAAATGGGTAAACCCTATTTATATGTAGATTAGTTGTAAAGTATAGACTTTATATTTCCTGACGTTTAAATAGGATCCAAATTCCTCCTATTTTGAGGCCCACCACAACGAAACAGAGTGCGGTTTCCCCGCCCACAGAATTGATTGACAGCCGTCTATTAACATGTTTCCATAGTAATGCGTATAATCACATCAACAAGACAGGACGTGTGCAAAGCAACTGGAATTAAAAGATCTGTTCAGCTCTCTGATCATCAATCATTATCAAATGTGATCAAGAATGAGTTTTACAAGTTTAAAACAAGTTTAAAATAGTGCATGTTTGTAATGAATTACAACAATTTTTGCTGTCTTTACTTTATCACCACAGCTGCAAGTCAGTACTATTATAAAAGAAGACGTTTCAAATCCGGTTTAAATGTTAAATCAGGTTTATTTTGTACATTAATATAACGGATATCCTTACAGCAGTGGATATTAACATGTATCCTGTTACAATTACCTTGCGAAGTTAAACGCGCGCACTGTGTGTGTGTGTACTTCGTAACGACATTGTGTGACTCATCAAAAGGCTTGAATTAACTCCACAACAAATACATCAAGTAATCATTGGAAAAGTTCTTACTGTAGTATTTTTCAGAAACGTTACGTGAGATCTGCTTCCTTCTTGTCTGTCACTGTGCTGTTTATCTGACGCAGATGAGAGAGATTGAGACACCCTGTGGGAATGGTAGACGAGAAGAACTAGCAGTAAAGCCACAGGCCACAAAAACGGCTACATTGTGTTTAAAGCAGAAAAATCCAATATTCCAAAAAGTATAATAAATAATCTGACGGGTGTTTTAAGCTGAAACTTTAGATATTCTGGAGACATTGCAGGCTTATTTTAAATCTTGAAAAAGGAGTAAAATAGGTGCCCTTTAAATGGGATTGTCTTTTAATATATATGAAATGATACCACATTAATATGTGATTTGGTACATATACTGTTGTTACACTGAACTACATTTTTGTGGGTATCATTTTAATGATGGTGAAAATGTATGGGAATCATCATTTTGTGCTAAAAAAAAGGGGACATTCTAATATGTAGAAAAACATGGGAACCTGCATTGCTTATTACACTTACCCCTTTTGCCTATAAACCATATGTAATGTTAAGGAGATGGCACTCATGCTGCGATACAGAGAGATGTTTAAAACTATAAGCAAACACTTAAACTGAGAAAAAAATCTTTATGTAAGTCAGTCAGAGATGATGCTGGAAGCATGATGCTATATAAGGGAGTCTTTTAGATCTTGTATTTATTTGGTGCTGCAAGTGACATTGTGATTTGTGATGTAATAAATATATTACTGGAAATTCATCTTCCTGTTAACATAAATTTTAAATATCTCATGCTTTGGAATTTTAATAAGATCGAGTTAAAAGTTTTCTTGCCGTCTGTGTTTTACCGTAGATTGGCTGTTCATCTGCTCTATTTTGCAGTTACGAATATATTAAAACCATTTTTCTCTTTCAGCAAGCCGTGGTCGAGTCAGAGGCAGGCGCCTAGGTCCTGCACGAAAAGCAGCTGAAAGTTACAACCGAGAGTCAACATGTAGTGAAGAACATGATAGAGATAACAGCCCTGATGAAAAAAGGGAAGCCCTGCTTAGCCGTCGATTTGGAGTCCATGAGGTTGACTCTTCAATGAATCCAGTTGTCGTGTTGCGCAGATTAACTGTTACCGTAGGGGGCTATAAAATTGAACTGCTCCCTGGACCATCACAATCGTTTGGATCATTTAGCACAAGTGCCCTTCAGTCTCTGGGCTTCCAGGACGATGGCATCATCGCTGATGGACT